AGGAAGCAGATTGCTGAGTTTTGAAGGCTCTCTGCATTTTGCAGCTTTTGCTTCTTTTACAAAATAATCATCTCGAGTCAGAAGGCAGGGAGGGCGAGACATCCCAAACCAATGTAGTTAACAAAAATAAATCCAAACTGAAGTGGTTTTGAAGAGAGGTGGAGCAAGGAGAGAAAAAAAAAAAAGCCAGAATTTGGTGCTGGCAGGGACACAGCTATCTCTGACACAAAGAGCATTTATACCCAAGTCCTCACTCAGCAAGGCAGCAAGAGAGGAAAGGAGAGACAGACCTCAATCATGAGCAGCTGGATATACTTTACTGCCCAGGGACAGACCCAAAAAAATGTGTGTGCTGCAAGGTGATGTGCACACAAGGAGGGAATATTTCCCTGCATTTCCCAACAGCAGTCTGGCAGCATCACACTGCTTATATTAAAAACACTCTCGCTTCCAAAGGTAAATTGAAACACGTTCTCTAGCTCCAAAAAGCTGAAGAGTGCAACTGCAACGGGCTGAATTGTAGGTGGCAGTCTCTGAGATAAGGAAACCAGTTTGAATCCTGGCCATCTGCAACACGTAGCTTTAATTAACAAGTCTTCTTGACCTGGAGGACCAAATCCAAGCTGCAGAGGAAATATTTAGAAAAAGAACTAGTAGAAGGAATAGAGGAAAGGGCTGGATAAAAGCCCTGAAGAAGCAGTGAGGAAAGCAGAGTGGTCACCAGGTGAGCAGTCATCCTGGGGCTCTATCTTAAATCCTGCACTGAACCCCAATCAAGGATCAATTGAGAGGAAGTCTTCATTCCAGAAATCCGTATCTTGAGTTATCTTCTATTTCACCTGATTGAAAATGAACTTGTACAGTAAGCTCACACTTTGTGAAAAAAAAATAAAGCAAATAGGACAGTGGTATAGAAAGGACAGGTAGGAACACAGATTGCAATTAAGGGCAATTGAGGGCAGCTCAATCCACTGTGGAAGATTGCACAAGACCTGAAAGGACACTACAAGCCCTGCAGATAAATCATATATATACTTCTTACTATATTTTTTCTCCATATGAAGCTGTAACTTTCCATAATACCATCTCCTACTCAGCAGCTGCTCTTACCAAGATGGGGAGGATGGAAAAGAACTATTGGAGTGAAGGAGCACTGCTGGCTGGTGTGAGAGGTGTGGTAACAAACTGTAGAGTGTCTTAGCAGCCAGTGCAATAAAGCTTTTGTGTGGCATCAGATATATGAGCACTGTTATATCAGATGGAGAATGGACCAAAGGTACAGCATGATACCAGACAAAAGCAGGTCTACATGGCTGTAGGCTCTGTGTGAAGATGGGATGACCCTCCTAAGTGCAGACACCAACAGGTATCCAGAGAAAGAAGTCAGAAAAACAGCAGTTTGGGGAACCAGATTTCTTAGCTATGAACTGAAGAGCATATGCTAAGAGTAATTGTAAGGACCATATATTCCTGGATGTGCTGTTACTGCCAGACTTCTTTGCAAAAAATGTCTCTCTGCCAATAAGAGCTGACAATATTTTGGACTTTATTTTGGCAAGTAACAAGGACATTAAGGAGAGCTGGTGATATAATATTACCTTGGACTGAATGCACACACATGCACTCAGATTAAATTAAGGATAAAAGAAGGTAGGTGGGGTAAAAGAATCAAAGTTCACTCTTTTTAACAGTGAGAAATTAAGTCAGACACTAAAATCAAGTGGACCAAGGAGACAAGGAAGGGGAAAGCAGCCATCTAACCATTTCTATCAGGTCAAACATACGAAACTATTTGAAAACTAACTGAGAACTGACCTCTAAGAGGACATTAAGAACAATTAAAGAATCCACAAACTACAGAGTGGATGGGATTCATTAGCAATGTCTTAGAAGCTGTGAGTGGTACAGAAATAAAACAGGAACTGCTGAATGTCAAGCTGTGCTAGACCTCAGCAACTCACAAACAAAATGGGGAGAGATGCTTCAGTCGTGTAAGAAAAGGAAAATATAAAGGGAAGGAGGAGAGGGTATGCTAAAAGGATAGGCAGGAGGCTAAAATCAATCAGCTACAATCTTACAATTGAATTAGAGCATTCATTAAGGACAAGGACACCGAACATGGGCGGCAAGGCCAAGCACCTAACGGGAATGAGCTTATAAGCAGAGAATGAGATGGATACAAAACACAAATGTTTTCCTATGGTCAAAGTCAGTGAAAGCAGACAGCACTCATCCCTGCACTCCAAAAGGAATCGTAACAAGGTGGTCAGAGCCATCTACAGCCAAGCATGGTGCTACAGAAAACGTGAAGTGTGTTTAGAGGAGGAGAGAGAATCCTGATATCCCATTCCCACAGCATGCAAGGTTGTTTGAAAGCAATAACTGAAGAACAAAAACTGGAACATGTCAAGAGTTGGCAGTGGTGAACTGTGTTCTGCCGACCCAATGCCTTCTGCCTGTAAAAACACTGTATAGACCTACGAAGTGCAGCTCAAAGAATGCAAGTTACATAGAATCAGAGAATCATTAATTGGAAAAGACCACTGAGATCACAATGTCCAACCCCATCCCATCCACCATGACTACAGCCCTCACTGCCACATCCCCGTGGTTTTGGAACACCCAGAGGGACAGTGACCCCACCACCCCCCCATGGGCAGCTGTGCCACTGCCTGACCACTCTTTCAGAGAATAAATGCTTCCCAATATCCATCTTGAATCTCCCCTGGCACAGCTTAAAGCCATCACCTAATTTCATTATGGCTTTCAGTACGAGGCTGCACTGGAAATTCCTGGGTAAGATAAAGATGGTGGGCAGAAATTAGTTCAAGGATTGAGTTGGACAGGCTTTGAACAATATATTTATTAACGGCAGACCCCTGACAAAGTGTGTTAAGAATGTTATGCTGACGAAGTTGAAGGGGATTATCAGTAAATAGGAAAGAATAATACTGAAGAAAATCTAGATGATCTTCAGGACTGGCAATGTTATGCAGTAACAGCAGCAGGATAACGTTTTATGATGCTATTAGGGATGGAGAAGAATGTTTGCCATCCAGTCAGGGAGCTCATCAGTTGGAAATAAAGGATGTGAAGGAGCTGAGTATATTAGGCCATGTTAAAACGAATAAGGACTATTAACCACTGAAGGCATGAGAAGGAAGAACACAAGTTACTGCCATAAAAGGACCTAGAAAAGTCCATTAAAGACACAGAAGCGTCACTGCACAAAGAAATGGTGAGAGCTGAGCCACATAACATTGAATGAGGCTGACCAAAACTGTAAGCACAGGTGGGGTGGAGACCAGACTGATTACAGTGAAGCTTAAGGAATGGGAACAGCACTGTTCTTAAAGACCTACAAGTGCTCACACAAAGCTCTGTGTTCAGAAATAGCAAAATAAAGAATTCATTGTAAGCTACAGTCCAGCACTCATTATGGAAGGCCAACAGTCAACATCTGTATCAGTCAACTTGTAAGTTGGAAAATAAATCATGTATTTCTTCCTGACACCTGCAATTACCAATGTGATAAAAGAGAAGCTTGAAAACTTACATCAGCCATAGAGCAAGTGTCCAGCTTTGTACACAGGACTGTCCTGAGAGCAACTCTAATCCGTAATGGAAACAAACAGCTTTACTATTTGCTGCTTCTGCAGCCAGTGACAAACTTGCAGCTCTCCAAACTCATTCACATCTAAAACTCAGGGCTTTATCAATCTATAAAGCAGAAACTAGATAATATTTATCAATACTGTAAGCAATACTGGAAGGAACCAAACTGCAATCCAAAGTCAGGGGATCAAATTTACCGTTTTCTAAATAACACCACAGTCTCCAAAGCGTTTAAACACTGCTATCTTTACAAGAAGGTGATGTGGACCTTTCACAAGTATTCTTAATATTTTCAAAAAATTACAGAACAAAAAACTTGAAAAATATCAGCACAGCTTAATGCCATCTTCTCAAGTGAACCTCACCTCTTTACTCAGCATGGTAACATGTGTTATCTTTGTTGGAAGCGATGCCAATGGTGACTTTGTGCAACAACTGATGCCAGTGATGAGTTTGTGCAATAATTGTGTCTAAAATACCATGCAAATCCACGTGAAGTTTCCAGCTTTCACTTAGTAACTGGTTTCACTGGCTGAATAAGGGTGGAGAAGGATGATTTTGATCCTCTACAGTTTGACCGAGTTTCTTTAAAAAGGCATTAATCAAACACAGAGCCTTGTTTGTGATCTCTGTTCCAGACCCAGCAATAGCTTTGTCCTTCCCAGGGACCCCCTATCACTCTGAGCACACTGTGTTGATACCTGAATTAGCCCAGAGCAAGCAGGTGCCCGAGGCTGCCCTGAATTATTAGCTGCAGCAGCAGTTGTAGAGTGCCTGTGACTGCACTCTGTGATCTACGAGCATTTTCACGATCCACTGAGCTTCATCCACTGCTTGTGCAGCATTAGCATTATCACCACAGACAGCCTGACACCTAAGGCAATGTGTGTTAACTGACTGCACTGCATTAAGGGGAAGAATGAGCATCACCTTCTTCTGCAGGTACCACCGGTCTTTGGCAGCACGAGTAGAAAGAGGGATGGCCCTCCAGCGGAGCCTTTAAAGAACATGATGTTAAAAAGAGACACTAAGAACATTTCCTCTGTTTTCTCATTCCAGGCTTGGTTTTGTGGCTATGACTCTTTGTTTGCTTTCCTCAGAATCCATATCCGCACCTTTAAAGTCAAAGCCCTTAATAGAGCATAGCTCAGTAAATAAACGAGCATCCCACTTGATTTCACAGCCCATTTTCAGACCCATTGGGCTGAGGTAATAGCAGACAACACAACCCTTGTGCTCTTAATCAGGAACAGAAGAAGTCTGCTGCAGGATTACACCGAGAGCTGCTTTGGCTTGGACAGCATGCAGCACAGCTGAATTGCCACACTGCTCATGAGAAAGGGAAAGTACATAGGAATAATTGCACACAGGCAAAGAGCTCCTACCTGTATTTTTATTGGCCAGGTGAAGTTGCTGACGTAGACAAAGAAGGTGATGTTTGGATTGTTGCGGAAATCAAACTTCTCGTTGGAGAAGCTGTCCTTGTATTCCTTTATATTTGTTCTTGAAACAACAGGAATCTCCTCCCCAGCCTGCGTGCCAGCTGTTTTCAGATGTTAAGAAGTAACAAAAAAAACCACGTTTCAGTGCATGTTTCAAATGACACATAAAAAGGGCCAATCACCCAGAATCCTAATGCTCTAAAATTCACTATTCATCTAGACACGACCACGTTAAGCTGCTCTGTGCTATCAAAACCACTGTATGCCAGAATATTGCATTACTAAAAATTAAATTAGCTCTCCTCTGCTGTTCCCAAAACACGCTATTAAGATGGAAAAATATACCTCTTTTTAACATTTTACTCCTGCCCCGAAGGCACAGCATTAAAGAACGTCACACAGCGAGTTCACAGGTTAAAGCAGATGTTTCCAAGACAAAATTTGCATGTGTCAAAAACTGGTAACTGAAGCAAGCTACCAAACAACTTAGATCACTTCCAATTTTACCTGCAAAGCTTGTTGCCCAAGTAATATTGAGGTTGAAGTTTTTCGATGCGTTGATAAACATATCCAGGTCTCTGTTTTGCTAGAGGAGAAAAAAAAAACCCAACAAAATACAGATCAACAGAAATACCCACAGTTTTTAAGAGGAGCAATTTCGCTGTACTGTTTCCTAGCAAACCCTCACTCAAAAATAATCTTGGAGTTTGTTATTTATACGAAGCAAACACATCAAGTATCATCACATTAAGCAAACGACAGCCTGCAGAACTACTTCCATTTTCTGAAAGCAGTACTTTCCTCCCCAAGGAGAACGTAATAAAGAACAAAACAAGTCATGTGCATGAAACGAAACAAGAAGAATAGATACGAGGTATGGGCTGAGCAACAAGCAGAGCTAGAATTGCTCAGCAGTTGTTTAAACAACCGTAACAAACCGACTGTGGCTCGTATGAAATTTTCCCATGACTATTTCAAATTTCATGGCCAAGCACAGCTCTCGTGCAACTTTGTGGAACTGGGCACACTGAGGAGACTACAGCTGGAGACTCCCAGTACTGCAACAGTATATATATATTTTTTTTCTATGGCCATGGAAAACAAACACACAGCCAAAGGATGATATTTGGTGATAGGAAGAGGGTAAATGACTTTAAACTGTAAGAGGGTAGATGTAGACTAGGTATTAGGAGGAAATTCTTCACTGTGAAGGTGGTGATACACTGGAACAGGTTGCCCAGAGAGCTTGTGGATGCTTCCTCCCTGTATGCATTCAAGGCCAGGCTGGATGGGGCTGTGAGCAACCTGGTCTAGACGGAGGTGTTCCTGCCTACAGCAGAGGGCTTGGAACGAGATGATCTTAAAGATCTCTTCCAGTCCCCATTCTGTGACTCCATATTTCACGAGAAAGTAGAAAGTTTACCTCTTCAGGTGTTGCTACAAAGTTGATTGCTGTGTAATAGCGATCGTCCTCTTGAGAAAGGCTAAAGGTGAACTGGTAGTCAATGAGAAGAGTATCTGTAAGGAATGCATACAGCAAGTTACTGCAGGTCTTGGAACAGAACAAACTTCCACAAAGAAAAGCATAATATTACTAAGGCACATCCAGCACAAGAGAACACCTAGGAGTCACTATGCTGATATGAACGAGTCCAACCACTGTGATTTCACACAAAAGGGACAAACTTGTTATTATTTTCCTCTTAATGCCTCTTAGGACCCTCTGTTGGGTAGACATGAGCTAGGCAACCCTCCAATGTCTATGTTCAACTTTGACAAAGCACTAAATAGGAATTTCCATGCAAGAAGAGAACCTGGTGGGACTGAAACTGACCAGCACAGAGAGTTGCTCCGGTGAGAGTCGTGCATTTCTGACTTTTCTTTTTGCTTACTTTACCAGCTTGGTGCTAATTGCATCAGTGTGGTGAGTTACCCTTGCAAAGTGACTGTCACAAGCTGCTGTGGCATCCTTGCTTTGCAACACAAATGGAATTTAAATTTGTTAAATATGGCACGTTGGCAACTTCTGTGTCTCACAAAAACACTGCTCGAGATCGTACCTTTATGTAATTTAAAATGATATCTCTCCTTGCCTGCCAATGTGCTGATCATTAATATTTGCAAATAGAAGCTGGAGAGTTTCCCTTAGGCAATCTGAACCTTGGCAAAGTACCTTGGAGCTGCACAGGAATCCAACTGTTCATTTCAGAGGAAATGTGGGGATTTGGAAGCTTTACTCACTCTAACATGGAATAAAATAAATAAAAAATAGTGTGTTCCACTAACAAAAAATCTGCAGACCTGCTCTGATGTTGACTTGTTAGGTATATATTTCCAAGTATTTTCCAGAAAACCACCATTCATCTGAATGCCACGTGAGAAATTTTCAAAGATTTGCTGTGAAAGTCCAATAGAGGCATCAAGAAGAGCGCATTGATTTTCTTCAGTGAAAGCAGGAGTTCTAAAAGAGCATTTTCTAGCCTCGGCCTTAATCTCTGGGACTGTAAGCTGATCTGTGGCGAGTGAGTTTTAAACAGGATATTTTAAATGTCAAACATTTGTTATCTACAAACACAATCCCAACTGTACTCACAGTAACACGTTCCTTTAAGTGGATTTCCCTGATAGCGGTTTTCTACTTCGCACCTAAAGAAAACAAATGTTTTGAAGGTTATTTATCTTTTTTTTTTCCCCAGTTCTATTTATACCCAGATGCTGAAAATCAGAAAACACACCTGTTCCAATAACACCATGCAATTAAAAGTAAAAAATACGTCTGAGCTGTACTGAGCTGCTGAAGAAATTACCCAAATCTGCCAGGTCCCTGCAAAACAAACTAGAACGGAATTAAACTAAAATACAAAATTAAGGAAACTAACTTTGTGTTCACTTGGAATGTGTTTAACAGCTCTTTGCAATGGATGGACCTGTATTACTGTAGTCAAAATCTGAAGTTTCCATTTGCATTTATGTCCGTTTCAGGATCCAGTCCTCCACATGTTTGCTAATGTAGTGCTTTAAAAATAAACCCGCCAATGAAATTATTTGAGATGAAATTACTTCCACTAACGTTACACTAAAAGCATTTCTGTTGTGCTGCAGAGAAACCTCCAGCAAATTCGTTGCTCTGAAACAGCTCCATTAAAATGCCCCAGTGTCGAAGTCTTATTTCAGACATATTTATATTCCCCCAGAAGAGAAAGTGAAAATCAACCCAATTAGAAAGATCAAGCTAAGGATGAAGCAGAACGGTGTGCACATCCTATGGGGTGGAGGCATTATTTTTCCTCCCATCCATTCTGCACAACATCCCCAATGGAAACGTTAAAATGGAAATCTCCAGGCAATTGTTTTGTTCCTGCTTTTCCCCAGGGGAAGCACAGCTGGCTGCACAGCCAATGGATTTAGTCAACTGTCAGCAGGAAGAGATGGGCACAGACATCATAAATACAGTCATTAAAGCACGTGGGGGCTCTGTGCCAGCGTGAGCACGGCCCTTTTGAACAACAAAGTGAAAGGAACTCACAGTTGACACTCATCTCCTTTGATTCCCTTGGTGGTGCAGAAACACTTCCCCGTGTTGGTGTTGCAGACGGAGGCATGGCCGTTGCACTTGCAAGCTGGTGGGAAAAGGGTGCAAGGTTGAAGAAAGCAAAACACATTTCATAAGCAATTAGATCCAAATGGTGATAAGCCAACAATTAACGTGTACACAAAAACTCTTTGGGTGCTCTCTGGTTTCTCAGGGCTGTTAAAAATAGAACCAGATGACGGAATGGTTCCAGGGACGAGGTTTTGTGTGAAATCACAATCCGAATGCTTCTCTTCAGCCTCCAAAATCTATTTAACTTCCTCTCGTGTTGCCAGATAGCACAAGGGATATCATAACGGGTAGGAAAAAGGCAGAGTTTCAAATTATTTGGGGCTCGCTAACACATTTCATTTAAACTCAAAACCCAAGAGAAAACAGTGATCTCTATTCTCTGCTAGCAAAGCAAAGCTCCCGGTGCTTTCGGGGCTTCTGTAAGAAATAAATCTGCTGTTGAGAGAATTAAAGGAAGTGCATCTGCAGTGTGTGAGATCTTTGGTGCCTGTGCTTTGAGTACTTGGGGGGGCAAACCCCAATATAGTTTAAGATGGCTGTGTGTCCCGCAGCAGATGGTGGATATGCCTCCAACGAAACACTCGTGCTGACACACTCTGAAAGCTTTGTTTGCATAGAAGTAGAGGAGATAGGAGCAAAAATGAAACAACAGAAGTTGTCATTAAAGTCAACTTCAATCGAAGTCAGAATAACGGATCTAAGAACTCCTCCCAGACCGTGGGTGCCTTTCAGAGTTTGTTCTGGTGATGGCCTGGAAGATGTGTGCACCTGGAGCCGTGAGAAGTGGGAAAAGGACATAAAGAAAAGATCCCTCATTTGTGCTCTCTGAGCTTGCTGAAATTGCATGGTTTAAAGGATGGTGTCAAGGCACTTCAAGGCACGTGCCACAATGTACCAGCAGGTTCTCAGATGAAGTCCCCATCCCAAATATTCTTGCCCACCTTGGACCTTATTTTATGAATCCTTTTGATGCCTCCTTTGTATTGGCATGTAAGGGAAGCTCTATTGTATCACAGATGCTTAATTGTGCTTCTCATCTGTGGATGAGTGGTTTCCTAGCAGCACCACGGAACAAAATAGCAAGAGGCACAAAGGGCTATTGTGGAAGCAAGTGGACGAGTGAAGATCTGACAAAATCACTGTATTCCGTGAAGCAAACACACTTCTCATTAGTGGCACTAGAAAAAATAATAATTCTTAATACTACTGAGCATGTCTTCTACTTCCTTCTGCCTTGTAATACATAAGCTGAGTGAAATTTGTTCAATATTCAACAATAATGCATGTAAAAATGAGAAGTTCCAAGCTGTGTGTTGTTTAGATGCAGACAACAGCATGTTGAGCATTAACACTTGGTCCTTCCTCACTCATTAGTCACAAAATTATGGCTAGATTTAGCATCCCAACATGTCTATTTGGAACAACAGCCCTATTCACACATTTTCCTACGAGTCCCATTGCTGGCGATCATTCAGTAAAGGACTGGAAGATGCACAGGGAAGGGAGATTTTCTCCTGACTTTTCAGGACATAAAGAGGTTGGAAACAAACTATTAACAAAACGCACTAGGAAACCTTGTTGGACTACAGAACCATAGGGGTTGGAAGGGACCTCTGGAAATCCCCCAGTCCAAACCCCCCTAAAGCAGTTCCCTCCAGCAGGTTGCATAGGAAAGCATCCATGTGGGTTTGAGTATCTCCAAAACAAGTGACTAAAACACCTCTCTGGGCAGCTTGTGCCAGGGCTCTGCCACTATCAAAGGCAAGAAGTTCTTTCTCATGTTCAGATGGATTTTGTGTGTTCTTGTTTGTGCCCTCTTGCCCTCTCACTGGGCATCACCGAAAAGATCCTGGCCTTCTCCACTTGACCTTTGCACTGCTCAGATCCCTCTCAGCCTTCTCCAGATGAACAGCCAAAGGCTCTCAATCCACCCCCATCAGGAGGTGCTCCAGTCTCCCACCAGCTCTGCAGCCACCTGCTGGACTCTCCCAGCAGTTCCCTGTCTGCCTGGAGCTGGGAAGCCCAACACTGGGTGCAGTGCTCCAGATGTGTCCTCCCCAGTGCAAAGCAGAATGTCACAATTGTTGAAAATGACTTTTGGATTGTGCAATCCTAACAATGAACCTGACCTGCCTTGCAGCAAGCCTCTTTCCACCTTCTTCACAATCCCTAAGTCTCTGACTCATCCAGAGATGGTCAACAGGATCACATCACCTCCTCCTGCCTTTGGGATGCTTCAGCACCCCTATGGCAACTACCATCTGACTGACCTTCCCATGACAAGTGCTTCTGTTCCCATGCACCCAGAGGGAACAGACACCACTGTGCCACCAGCAAACGCTTGGCAGATGCATGTGGAAGCGCTGTCGCAGCAGCAATCTGATTGCTGGCACAATAGCACCTTCCCTTCTCTTGCAAATAACTTCCTTATCTACCGCCAGCATATTTTCATGGGAAACTTTAATCAGAAATTTCAAAAAAAATCCTGAATGCAGTGAAAGCACCTTGCAGCTATTTTTACATTTGATGTACTGCAATTCCTGCCCTTCCCGATTAACATTGCTCTACGTTGGGCACTTCCTAAAAGCAACTGCTGAGCAGTGATTTGCCTGCTGCTTCGTTATTATCTGCCCAGCTCTGCAAACACCAAAGCCTGTGATGATATGCAAACAATTCCTTCAGAGGTAACAGCAGTTTGCTAACAATTCTTAAACACAAGTGAGATAGCAAAGTTCACTTGCCCTGGTGGAACAGAGCAGCAGGAAAAGGCATCTGGTTCTGTTCACTCTTATTCCTCTTCCTCTGTTGTTTTTCACTCTGCACAGCCTTACATGTTTGAAAGGCTACTACTGACCCTACGGCGTCTCTCAGCCTCCTGATATCTCATCAGAATTGAAAATAGTCCCACCCATGTTTCACCAGTCCTGCATATTTGACATTTTGGGGATATTTATGACCCCTGGATTGAACTCCCACTAAGTGCTCAATGCCTGCTCATTGAGATGGTATTTCAACTCTTTGAAAAGGTTGATAACTGCAGGACAAGAGGAAATGGTTTGAAGTTGAAGGAGGGAAGATTGAGGTTGGATGTGAGGGGGAAGTTCTTGACAGAGAGAGTGGTGAGGTGCTGGAACAGCTGCCCAGAGAGGCTGTGGATGCCCCGTTCATCCCTGGAGGTGTTCAAGGCCAGGTTGGATGGGGTCCTGGGCAGCCTGGGCTGGTATGAAATGTGGAGGTTGGTGGCCCTGCATGTGGCAGGGGGTTGGAGCTTCATGATCCTTGAGGCTCCTTCCAACCCTGGTTATGATTCCATGATTCTGTCAACAACTGCCTCCAGAACAGATGTGACCATGGGCTCTCAAATCACAGAATCATAGAAAGACCTGGGTTGAAAAGGACCATGACGATCATCTGGTTTTTGATATGATTGTATGATTGTATTAGTTCATGATTTTTTTTCTCCCAAATAGAGAAGCACACAGCACTGCACACCCACGCCCAAGAAGAGTGGGATCAGCACATCACTAATGGGAAAAGAAGGAGAGATGGCAGCTTAAATGAGAGAGAAAGCAGGAGTTTGCTCCCCTGTCCATCAGCTGATCCTCATGTGAAGCATTCCCCTCCAGAATTCTTCTCATGGAGCAAAACTTCCAAGTTAACAGCAATCATTCTGGCTGCATCAGATATGATGATTTCCTCTCGCTTTACCTCCTCTGTCCCACACAGGTCTTGCTGCCCACTCTCCTGCTTCCCTCGTTCTTTTACCATCACAGCAAACAGCATTAAATCACAGCAAATTAAAAACCTGGGCCCAAAGCACTTGAGAGCAAAGCACTTCTGACATGAGCTACCAGTTTCATCAGATAGCGAATGAATGCTGCTCCAAAGTCTCTCAACACATTTTCTAATTTCTCTGTCAGGCGTCTGGCTGACTTCAGTCTATCATACATTATCTCGACAAGAAACTTATTTTTGGACAGTTCTCACACAGAAGAGTCTGAAGTAACTTACTCTTGAGTTTTCACAAGCACAGAAATGCAACGAATACAAAAAGGCACACTGTGATGCAATGATTAAATCTGAATGCTCAGAGCAGGATTGTACATTTTCTCATGCCAGCTCAGCCTCAATTTATTCATTCCTGCACTTCAAATTATCTTCATGCAAAACGGATTTAAGAATATCAGCGGTATTTAATCTTGCAGATAACACTGTAAAATAAAAGTGTCAAACATGCACTTTCTCCTTTGTACCAGGAGCACTGAGCTGCCTGTCACAATTTCATATCATGGAATCATAGAATGGTTTGGGTTGGATGAGACCTTTAAGATCATCTAGCTCCAACCCTCTGCTATAGGTATACTCCTCCCATTAGACCAGGTTGCTCACAGCCCCATTCAGTTTGGACTTGAGGGCCTCCATGCATTCTCCACTCTCATCTTCCCCAAAAAAGATGATGCTGCTTCCAGCAAACATAATTAGATGGATTTCCAAATGTTTCTTTTTCCCCTGGATTGCCTCCATATTTGGAAGGAGCAACTTGAAGTCCTCAGTGTCCCTTCATTAATGACCTTCACTTACTTCTTCCAGGGTGCCTACAAACCACTCACATTCATTTCACAGAACTGCTGATACAAGTCTCACCCCCAACAATGCAATTTATGCTCTACTCTTTCCATCACTGTGTCGTATTATAATTACTCCACCTAACTGCACTCTATTAAAGGTCCTTGGAGCAAGAAGCATCCTCTCTTTCATCTGCATATCCTCTACCACAGCTGGATGTTGGTTTACAACTGGTGTCCCCACGCTACAGCGCTACACAACTTCTGAATGTCGTTGAAAGGTTTGAGGACAGAGCTCCAAATCTCACAAGTTTATTTCTCAGTATTACTGAAGGAACCTGTACGGGTCCTTCAAGAAAGAATTCTTTCCATTTTTGTTAACTGGATCTTACACAACTGAAAAATTACTTTGTGCCAAAGAGACCGAAAGCATGTTACAAACTTAAAACGCAATTTTAACAGAGATCACTTAATCCTCAACTGAAACCCAGCCAACCCCTCAGTGAAATACGGCAATCCTTTTATGAAGCAGGCATTCATAATAATAAATGCACAACACATTAAGCAAATGTAATAGAAAGTGGAACTGAGATAAGCGGAAATTTGTCCAAGACATTGGGATTAACACCATTTCTTTTCAAAACAGGATTGTCAAACACCAAAGCTAACTCATTTTTCAGTGTGGTCATTTGAAATGTACGAAGGAGGTGAAAATCATTTTAATCTTGTGCAACACCAGTCAAAGAACTTCATCAAGCCATTTCTGCATCTTGGATGCAAAGAAGCAAGGATGGTGCCTTGCCTGCAGGAAAGAAATGTATTATTGGGATATAATTTCAGTTAAGATAGAAGAGGAATGAGTAAAGAGCAATAAAACACCATAGCATTCAGCAAAGGAAGAATTCAGGCATCACTTACGCTGGCATGTTCCTCCATTAGTAGGATCACCATAGTAGCCAGAGATACAAGTTTCACAGTGTTTGCCAGTTGTCAGATTTTCACACTTCTCACAGATGCTTTCATTTATGCACTTACTGTGCCCATTGCACTGGCAGGCTGTAGAAAACAGAAAAGGATGAGTATCTGTGCTCAAAGGCAGCCCTGCACACAGCAGTCTGTGACTTCTGGAGAGGCTGAATGAAACCACTTCACCCAACTTTCAAAGAGGTTCTTGCAGTCTTGCTAGAGAGACATAAACTCAAAGAGAAGCGTGCACTGAAAACCTGAAATTTAAAGCAGCAAACAGAAAACTGAACTCTAAATCACTACTGTGAATAATGGACGGATGGAAATGGAAGCAGATAGAGGGATGGGTTTACAAGGATGAATGGGGAAGAGAGGTTTCAACTGCAATTCAGTGATTTTATTCTATGTACTTAGTGTCAAAAACATTATTTCAGCATCTCCCTAAGCATTACTAATAGCTAAATCAACTGTCAAAGAAAGACTCATCTTTCTTTTTAAGAAACCTTAAAATGAATATGTAAATAAAAGCTAAAAACTCAGTAAAGGTTCGAAGAAAGGGAAAAATCTTGCAAGAACAACACATGGATTAGGGAAAAAAATTAAATCACAGAATCATTAAGGTTGGAAAAGATCTCTCAGATCATCAAGTCCAACACCAACCCATCCCCATCATGCCCACTAAACCACATCCAACCACTGGGGGTTGGGACTAGATGATCTTTGAGATACTTTCCAATCCAGGCCATTTTATAACTCTATATCCTTAAGTGCCACATCTGCACATTTCTTGAAGGCAGGTCTTCAGGTAGCAAACCTCTGCAGCTGTTCTGCAGATAGATCAACTCTTCCCATCTCAAACCGTGTTCCTTTCTGTGTCTTCCAAGCTCTCCTCCTCCTTCCATTAACAGGTATGAAGCTGCTCACCCTGCATTTAACTCTGCTACACTTCACCCACTTACCTGGACACTGGATAAAGGACCAGTTATAACTGTGCTCTCCAGCACACATGCTGACATTAAGGACAGGCTCCAAGCTTTGTTTTCCTGTTGCAGATGGGGTTGGCATCTTGAGTGCACCTCGGTAGGAGCCATCAATGCATTTCCCCTTGCCAGTGTTGCTGGGATCCGTGCACCATCCACAGCCAGGCTGCTCCAGGCAATGAGAGCACGTGCAGTAGCCTGAGCAGTTTTCAGCTATTAAAAAGATGAAATAAAATCAAATTGTGACATAAGTCACGGTCTCAAAAAAAAGGCAATGATTAAGGAGAGCCCTTTTGTGACACAGAGTAATTTTCTCCCCAAAGCCTGTAAATATTTATTCTGATATGCAGAGCGAGAGGTATCAATTCTCATTCCTATCAGAATATTTATTTTAGAATCTTAATTAACAAAGGTTGAAGCAAGCAGTGAATTAGGAAACAATGGAACATAAGGTAGGAAACAACCAACATAAGGCCTATCTAACCATTAAATAGCACACACTGAAATCAGAGCTGAGGGTTCCCAGCTAGAGACCATCTCTGCCTGATCCTCAAACTAGAAATGAGTTATCCCAAAGCAAAAGAAACAAACAAAAAAAAAGAAAATAATTTATTTTAAACACAAAATTTCTACTGTGGGATATGCAATAAATCAGAGCATATATGTAAACCATACTTTGGATTTCATGATTCCACATGGAAGATACAGAAGAAATGCAAACAGAAGTTAATCACATGAAATCGTGTAAGAGTTTTAACTGGAAGGGTAAATATAATAATCAAATAATGCTTCAAATAATGAAGCAAGCACTGAAAAAGAAATTTGAGATTTCATTATTTGAAAGCCCAGACTATCTGCCATTGAAGACCATCCGCCATTGAGTTCATTTGATAGTGTCCCTTATCAGACCCCAATTCTCTTCAACTCTTTACACGACACAGAGGATTCTGTAAGACTGAGCTGCACACACCAAGCTCCCAGGGCTGTGTTTTTGAAGACCTCCATGAACACAGTGGTACAGGATACCCAACGATCAGAGCTGTTGGCCAACACCAGACCTCTCCCAGCCATTTGGAAGCAAAAGCAAGGACTCACGTGGACAGCTGCTCATGGTGTACCACTCCATGCACTGCCCGTAGGGGAAGGAGGCCACGTAGGCGTTGGAGTCCACACACTGCTTCATGTTGCTGCACCACATGCACTCAGAGCTGCCACTCGTGCACTCACCACACATGGTGCGCAGGGCGCAGGGCGTGCGGCACTGCTTGGCGCTGTGGTTGGCTGTGGGAGGAGGTAAAGGTCAGCTGTGAGCCAAAAACCCATAGGTAACAAACCCCTGAAGTAGGTTATGAAGACTGGAAAATAGTTCAGCATCGTAAAGGTGACATATTTCTTTGGTAGTGTCTTGGTGGTAGAGTTCAGTGTGACAATATGCAACGGCACTTAATGGGCTTATGTTGAGCCACGGAGGGTTCAGAATGGATATTAGGAGAAATTTCTTCTTTGAAAGAATGGTGAGGTATTGGAACTGGCTGCCCACGGAGGTGGTGGAGTCACTGTCCCTGCAGGTGTACAAGAAAAGGGTAAAGGTGGCACTGAAGGACATGGGTTAGTGGGCATGGAGGGGATGCTTTAATGGTTGGACTTGATCTTAGAGGTTTTTTCCAACCTGAATGGTTCTATGAGTCCATGAGATATTTAATACATTGGTAAGAGGGGTGGCCAGCAGGGACAGGGAGCTGATTGTCCCCCTCTACTCTGCTCTTGGGAGGCCTCATCAGTATTGCACTCAGGTCTGGAGCCCCCAATACAGAAAAGACAGGGGGCTGTTGGAGAAGGTCCAGAGGAGAGCCACAAAGATGATCAGGGGACTGGAGCACCTCCCCTGTGAAGACAGGCTAAGGGAGCTGGGCTTGTTCAGCCTGGAGAAGAGAAGGCTTTTGAGAGACCTCATTGCAGCCTTTCAGTACCTAAATGGAGCCTACAGACAGGAGGGGAGTCAACTCTGCGAAAGGGTTGATAACAGCAGGACAAGGGGAAATAGTTTGAAGTTGAAGGAGGGAAGATTGAGGTTGGATGTGAGGGGGAAGTTCTTGACAGAGAGAGTGGTGAGGTGCTGGAACAGCTGCCCAGAGAGGCTGTGGATGCCCCGTCCATCCCTGGAGGTGTTGAAGGCCAGGTCGGATGGAGCCCTGGGCAGCCTGGTCCAGTATTAAATGTGGAGGTTGGTGGCCCTGCATGTGGCAGGGGGTTGGAGCTTCATGATCCTTGAGGTCCCTTCCAACCCTGACCATTCTGTGATTCTATGATCCTGTGAATATCCCAAGTTGGAAGCGACCTGTAAAGATCAATGTGTCCAACTCCTGGCTCCACCCAGCACCACCCAAAAATCAAGACTATAAGGACTGTAAAACCATTTCTCTTACTATGAGTGCTTATCCATGAATGCTCATGATTTCAAAAGTGGTCGGAAAACAATTTAAAGATCATATTTATAACACTGCTTATCTCAACAGGTTTGTTGATGTCCTCCTTCCCTATTTACCCAATCAAAGTGTTGGGAATCAGAATCACCTAAACTGGAAAAGACTGACAGGGATGGGACTCCACCACTTCCCTGCAGTGCCTGCCAGTGCTAGACCGGGAAGGAACCCCCATGATTAACTAAGCACACTGGGATGGGTTTTAAGTTATTTGATTGGTTCCACACATAAAACTTAGTACTCAAAGCAGAACTAAGTCAGGAACTGCTGGTGTGATCCAATGCTTTATCATCAGCTTTAAGTGATTGCTCTCAGACCATAAAACCAAGTGAAAGCTTAAAACAGTTCAAAAAGCTGTCAGTTAAAAGAGAAAACTCTGAGTCAGGATTCCACATTCACAATCTGCACCCTGAGCTTCTATGATAGAAGCTTCTATGATGCTCAGCTTACAGTAGTGTACCTCACTTATGAATATTATGTAATAAGTCAACTTTCCTAAAATTTAAAAGGCACTAATTGGCATTCAGAAATAATCAGCTCTAATAACTGAGCGGAGTTAACAGACCAAACCACTTTTAAAAAAAAGATATGCAGTTCCAACAAAGCCAGAAGACTTTTCCCAAAAGCCAACAGCTTCTTTTTCAAAGTTCTCCTATCTGCAAAGTGTCTTGCCCAATTAATTTCAAACTTTGATAAAAATCCTCCTCTGGCAATGGAGCCTGGGAGGGCAAGGAAGGGAGTTCAATTGGAAAGTGGCTTTTATTTATTTATTTTTAAACAGTAGATTGCTCCGTACCGTAATTAACCTAAATGTCACAATCAGGTATGCAATTTAGAGAAAAATAATTAAACTCTAATGTACTTTATGAATTTTACAGTTAGCCATGTAAGCGTAGAGCTATTTATAACTTCTGATCCCTGTTTGGAATACCTACACAGGACACATTTTCAGAACCACTTTTCTTTGGCAAAATCATGATGCAAATGGGATAAAAAACGGGATGTCTTTTGCTCTCAGGGACAAACATCTACATATCAACCTGTCCCCTAAAGAAGGGGGAGAAGAGAAGGCTGCAAGGTGACCTGATAGCAGCATTTCAGTATCACAGAATCGCAGAATGGCCAGGGTTGGAAGGGACTTCAAGGATCATGAATCTCCAACCCCCATGCCCCATTCAGGGCCACCAACCTCCATGTTTAATATTAGACCTTCAGTATCTAAAGGGGAGCTCCAGGAAAGAAGGGGACAGACTCTTTTAGCACTGCCTGTGGTGATAGAACAAGGAGAAATGGTTTCAGGCTTAAAGAGGGTATATTTAGGTTGGATAAGGAAAAAATCTTTTGCAGTAAGGGTGGTGAGCAATGGAACAGGTTGCCCAGAGAGGTGGTGGATGCCCCATCCCTTGAGGCACTCAAGGCCAGGCTGGACAGGGCTCTAAGCACCTGACCTAGCTGTGCACGTCCCCATTCCTTGCAGGGGAGCTGAACTAGATGACTTTTAAAGGTCCTTTCCAACTCTAAGGATTCCATGATTCTAAGGGCCGTACACTCAGAGCCAGTGTTACCTGCCCTTTCGCAGACACTGCCATTGACTTCATTGATGCACGTTGCTGCCTTCAGTCCCTGGCTGGAAGGCTCAGCTAGATAACCACAAAATCCAGCATCGCTGGGTTCATCGGGGAGCCACTGGAGCAGGGTGTTGGTGAAGGGTGACATGTCCTCCCAGCACCAATACGACACGTTGATCTTCCTCAGGCCAACCCACGGAGTCAATGCTTTGGACTAGAAACACAGAGGGGGAAAGTTATCACACAGCTTTATTTATTTTTTGGTATTAAAACAAACATCAGCACACAGTGCTCGTAAGGAACTTCGACAAATTTGGTGCTGCAAAAACGCATGGGGGAGATACGTGTTTCTCAGTGCCATCTGAATTTAATGCTACAGAAGTAGAGAAATTCTCTTGGAAACAGCAATTATTATTTTTTCTTTACACTATGTTTCTATTTATCTGCAACAGGAGGAGCACAAGTCACTCACACAGCTCATTATGAAATTAGCTGCAAGTCCCATACACAACTTAAATGATGAAGTGTACCCTGCTTTACAGCTCTTCTTTACTACAGCTGTCCCTCAGCAAAACCATTACCCACATTTTGACCACTTAATACCAACTAAAAGGGCTAATATTTCCATTCCTAGGGCTCACATTTTAAAGGATACCACAGCAGGAAATAATATGTACATGGAAAATGTTTTTCCTCCAATGTAAAGGAGCAAGTGCTGTTAAGGAAGGGCTGCTAATGCATCTTTAGGAATTTACATGATACTTAACCACTCTTGGAGCTGTTTTGCAGTGTCCAGAGCTTGGCTTCCTCTCCTCACTTAAGAGTTAACACGCAGCCTCAAGTGAACTGACTCTTACCTTACACTGGTTCAGCTGAATCCCCTCTAAAAACCCTACACTTGTTGAAACATCACTTGAAAATTCACACAGGGAATCAAAGCAGGAAAAGCTCGTTTCAACAGGGCAATATTTCTCTTCAATACTGAAGTATGCTCCTGTCTGAGAAGCACCAATCCTACTGCCTCCAGTCTGATTTTTCCTACAAAAACCTCCTGCCAGCCCTGAGACCCAAGATGAGGAAAGCTGATGCTTTCAGACCAAGCTTTCAGAGCCTCAGAGCACCACTCTTTGCTATGGTTCAAGCACCCCTCACACAACCTGCCCCAAATACCTCTGCACTTCTGCAAGTGGCTGGAAAAAAACAGTATTTATTTTCCTGCTGCTTGAGGATGGATGAATTCCAACTCACTCCTCACTGGCTCAGACAGCAAAGCACCTGCCACTAAATCAAACGTAAATAACTCCCAATAAGCCAAGCAGGTCTGCAGAGTTAAGAAGCTGACATTTGAAACAGTGCTTTCCTGAGCAGAATAAATAGCTTTAAATGCTTTATTTTAAACACCTCCGGCGCCCCCAAAGGGACCTTTATTTATAAAATACTGTGTAGATGTCACAAGAGAACCACTTGCACTCCTCTCGCAGCCATGTATCCCACAAGGGAAATGTGTGTGTGATTTCATTACAGAAAGCAATACCTTTGAGGCACCGTGTATGTTTGTATTTATCTTTCCCATTTACATTCTCTACAATTTCACTTCAAAAACACCCATAGGGTACGTTGAATTTCAAAAGGAAAAATCGGTCCTTCTCAGTTAAGAGGCATGTCTGCTCCACAGAGAGCACACCGTGCCTCAGCAAGGACTCCTCCACAGCCAGAGCTTAATTAGTCAGAGGACATAAAAGAGAAGTGCTCACCGAAGACTGCATCTTCTGCAGCTCCTTCAGAACAAATTCCACCTTTTTCTGGGTGGTCAGAGAAGCCAATGAAGCTCCACTGGACCTGCAGGACAGCTTGGCGTGATCGTAGTTCTCCTTTGCATTTGTAATTTTCAGGCAAGAGTTGCTGACCAAATGCCAGTTTGTTCCACAGATATTTTCTGAAGGAAGGAAAAGAGCAAAACCTGAGGTGGGGGTGACTTTCACAGTGTTCTGAGTTGCGAGACATCTTCCACCAAAATGAGCTCTACAGCCCCATCCAACCCAGCATGACCCACTGGCACGCTCAGAAGTACTTATGTACAAGTAACACACAGAAGAAAGCTGTGTAGGGGCTCTGAAGTCAAAGTCACCACTTGGTTACTGGCAACAGGTTGACAAAGCACTTCTTTGAACATCCAGCAGTGAAATCTTTTCAAAGGAAAAGTGGAGAAGAACTCCTTACACTTTGCAAGAATTATTCCTCTGACTCCTAAGATGTTCTAGTGAGGCAATGGCAGAAGTTGCCCAGAGAAGTGGTGGGTTCCCCATCCCTGAGACCCTCAAGGTCAGGCAGGATGGGGCTCTGAGCACCTGTTGGAGCTGTGGGTGTCCCTGTTCACTGCAGGCAGGGGGACCAGATGGCCTTTAAGGGTCACTTCCAACTCAAACCATTCTGTAGAGCTGATGTCCAGATCAAAGCCTCAGTTTAAATTCATCTGAAAACTATCAAGAGTTGGGTTTTCAGACAGGCTTTTTACAAATATGATCACCTCGCTCCCTTCTCTATAACCAATTAAACACACCAAATCCTTCATCAGTATCACTAAGAGATGATGTTTTTTTCACTTTCATGGCTCCTCTCTGATGTCTCTTCATTTATTCACTTCCCAGACTAGCAGAAAGCAGACCTGGACGTGTCCAGAGTTACCAGGGGAAGTTCCTCCAGGCCTTTTTAAAGGTCCTGTCCACGTTGTTTTTCTCTCTTTCTCCCCTGCTAGGAAAGGTTGAGGGAACTGGGCTTGTTGAGCTTGGAGAAGAGAAGGCTCTGGGGAAATTTCATTGCAGCCTTCCATACTTGAAGGGAGCATATAAACAGGAGGGGGAATGGCTGTTTACGAGGGTGGATGGTTATAGGACAAGGGGGAATGGTTTTAAACTGAGACAGGGGAGGTTTAGGTTGGATATTAGGAGGAAGTTTTTCACCCAGAGGGTGGTGAGGCACTGGAACAGGTTGCCCAAGGAGGCTGTGGATGCCCCATCCCTGCAGGCATTCAAGGCCAGGCTGGATGTGGCTCTGGGCAGCCTGGTCTGCTGGTTGGTGACCCTGCACACAGCAGGGGTTGGAACTGGATGAGCATTGTGCTCCTTTTCAACCCAGGCCATTCTGTGATACTACGATTCTACGATATTTTATTAACTGTGTAAGTCAATTTCTGAAGATGCTATAATTCTCTTCTAGTTACTGGGAAAAAAAAATCCTTTCTGTGGAGGAGCCTAATAAACAACTGCTATGAGCTCCCACTGGAAACATGCTAATAAGAGAATTTTCCTCATACACTTAGGTGTTATTTGCCTAACACGTCCAGTATGTGACATTCTGCTTTTGCACAATTCTAGTTTCTAAAATCAAATGGCATGCATTATTAAACCTAATGCCTCACCGAAGCCTATTATATCAACAGTGCTGCTTTCATCAAATGAAAAGAGAGAGAGATGAAATGCAGGCTAATAATTATACAAATGATTACACTGCTCTTCAGACAATTGGGACTGAAAAATATTCCATCAGACTTTCTAAATTTACTTGAAATAGAGTTTCATGCCAAAATTGGGTTGATTAAAGAACACTACTCCTATATAGCAGTAAACTGTCACCCGGTTGGGAGTTTTGTTTTAAACAGAAGCAAAAGAAACAAGAAAAAAAGAAAACCAACCGAAAAAGAAGATGAACATCGCAACCAATACTTTTGGATTGGGTGAATGTGGAGCTGCTTACATAAACTCAAGCAATACCTACCTGGTAAAGCAATGCACTCCTGATTCCTTGGTTCCCACTGACAATTCTGATCCATGGCACAGCTTTTACAGCTTGTCCTTTTGTTACAGTAATAGGCAGGGTTATCCTTAGGACAATTCTCATAAGCAGTAATGGGAACCTAAAATAAATGGCACCAGTGAGGCTTCCCATCCAAATAACATCAGTTTGTAACAGTCATAAAGACTAGCATGCTCAACTTCACGTTTCAGATCTACAAGGCAATCTATATGTTCCAGTGTGGAAACACTGAGGTGTGCTTTCAGGATATTCCCCCAGATCAGCACTTTCCTCCTTAAAGCTGTTCCCTCTAGGGGTAGGGCTGAGTTTTTTCTAGGGCTCTAACAGCAAATCCAAATGGCTTTGAGCCTTACTGAATAACCACATCACCCTGACAGTAAAAGATTCATCTCTTCCCCTCTGCCCTTAGGCATCGATAGGACAAGGGGGAATGGTTTTAAACTGAGACAGGGGAGGTTTAGGTTGGATATTAGGAGGAAGTTTTTCACCCAGAGGGTGGTGAGGCATTGGAACAGGTTGCCCAAGGAGGCTGTGGATGCCCCATCCCTGCAGGCATTCAAGGCCAGGCTGGATGTGGCTCTGGGCAGCCTGGGCTGCTGGTTGGTGACCCTGCACATAGCAGGGGGTTGGAACTGGATGATCACTGTGGTCCTTTTCAATCCGGGCCATTCTATGATTCTACAATGATGATGATCCTCCTCATTTCAGGACTGGGGAGTCCCACAAAAAGCCCTCAGACCCACATGAAGCATTCAAGGTTGTGAGCAGTTCAGAGGCACAAAAGCACAGGAAATAACAAAAGGATGGGGGTCATCATGCTGTCAGATGAAGACAATTGTTATTTCAAAGGATAAACGTAAACTACAGAAGCATTAGAGAGACTTTACCTGTTCCTCCGTGCAGTTGTTATGCATTGAGATACACTGGTCGGTGCACCACTGACAGTTGTTTGTGTTTGCTGTACAGCTATAGCAGTCTGTAATCTGATCACATTTTTCATTGTCTACAACTATTAAAGAAAAAAACCTGCATGACCAAAAACAGGCATTTCCTGACAGAGCTCTAAGAACTTGATTACATACAGCAAAAGATACAACCAAACAGTAGCGCCTGGAGATTTCCTCTTATCAACCAGTTAGTAAATGGGATTCTTTCTTTTCACTCAACGGAGAGAGAATTGCATTCATCAATTGCTTTTAGTGCCCAGGTAGCAATCAAAACACAAGAGCAGAAAACACACTGAGTCACTGAAGCCCACCAGCAGCAATGGGGCACGCATGTTCCATCAATGCACAGGCAAACCATGCCAGAGGACGTTTCCCAAGGACAGGGAAATCTCCCACTGCAGGCCCATTTTGCTGAAAGCCTGCCCTTCAATTATGTGCAGCATTTTCATGCAAAGCTTGAACTTTCCACTTCATCTTTCCAATTGCTTATCGCCTGTGTTTTGTGAGAATTTATTGTACATTCAGAGCCCATCAAAGCAGTGTCCCTTTACATCAATTTCTTTTAAATAATTAAAGGCTGCAATCTATTACAGAATCGAGGTTCATGTAATTCAATTCAGAGCAATGAACGCACTGGGATAAAGTGCTGAAAAGTTGTTAAAAAGTTATCATACGAAGAACACAGGAATCAGACCTTAAAAATAACGCTCTTTTTCCGTGCCCCAACCCAGATAAGAGCATAGAAGGTGACAGAAAGCACATAAACCACCTATCCTGCTGTATCAGGGTAACACAGCAGGCCCAGGTCCTCCTCCCTCCCCTCACAACGAACAGAAAGCTCTCACAAGGTCAGACTTCAGGGCCAGCACCTACAGAGCAGCAACCCTGATGCCACCTGTGCGGTGTGGGACCGTACATACGAACAACACCAGAGAGAAAAGCAGACGAGGAAAGGGAAATAGGAAGGATGTGGCACATACCTGACTTGGCAGGACAATCCTCAAGGACCTTTTGCTGTTGCTGCACTGTGGCCATTTCCCAGGGCACGCAGCCAGGCCGGGCAGGAGCCCACACACAGCGCACACCAGGTCCTGCTTGCGTGCAGGAGGTCTCGTTAGTGAAGGCCTCACATCTCTCTGGGGTGTACTTCAGGATGTCACTCAGCAGGAGGCTGTTGAAGCCTCCGAATATATACATGGTGCTGGAGAAAATGCAAGTAAAGAAACGTTTCTCCTCAACATCTTTTTCAGTGGCACAGACATAATGAGATTGAGTTTACTCTCGGGAAGTTTGCTGATGCCGCTAAGCTGAGAGGAGCAATTCATAGTATCATTAAGGTTGGCAAAGACCTCTAAGATCCTTTAGTACCACCCTGACCCACCCCCACCATGCCCACCGACCACGTCCCTCAGTGCCACATCTCCATGGCTCTGGAGCACCTCCAGGGAAGGTGACCCCACCACTCCCTGGGCAGCTGTGCCAGTGCCTGACCACTCTTTTGGAGAACAAATTTCCCCTAATATTCAACCTGACCCTCCAGTGGTGCAACTTGAGGCCATTACCTCTCATCCTACTGCTGTTATCTGGGAGAGGAAGCCTTTTGATACAACAGAAGGAAGGGATGCCATCCAGACAGACCTGGACAGGCTCAAAAATGTGGGTCCATGAGAGCTGAATGAGAATCAACAAGGGCAAGGTTCTGCACTTGGGTTGGGGTAATCCCAGATATGTTTACAGCCTAGGAGAAGAAGTCATTGACAGCAGTCCTGCAGAGAAGGACTTGGGGCTTCTGATGCATAAGAAGTTGGCTGTGTACCAGTGCTTACAGCCTGGAAGGCCAACAGTACCCTGGGCTACATCAGCAGAGGAGTGCCACAGGGCAGGGAAGGGACTGTCCTGTCTGCACTGCCCTTGTGAGGCCTCCAGCACAAGAAGGACAGGATGCTGTTGGAGCAGCTGCATGTCCAGGAGGCCATGAGGATGCTCAGAGTGCTGGAGGAGATCTGCTATGGAGGGGGACTGAGAGCTGGGAGTGTTCAGCATGGAGAGGAGAAGGATTTGGGGAGAACTCACTGAGTCCTTCCATTATTTAAAGGGAATTTATAAACATAAGAGAGAGTGATTTTTTACACAGTCTGATAGCGATAGGACATGGGGCAATGGCTTTAAACTAAAGGAGGGGAGATAACATCTGACATGTTAGGAGGAAATTCTTTACTCACTGGGTGGTGAGGCCCAGATCTGTGGGTGCACCATCTCTGAAGGTGCCCAAAGCCATGGATGGGCCCTAGGCAGCCCGAGCTGGTGGGGAGCCAGTGATGGAGGGGCATTAAGGTTTCTTCCAACCTAACTATTCTGTGATTCTACCCAAAATGATGCCACAATTCTGTGTGACACCTGACTAATGTGACCATATATATAAAATGCTGCAGGAATGCACGATCCTCCTGTAAAAAAAGTGTCAAGAAAGGGAAGAAGGCTGACACAGGGGAGACAATATTGCACTATTAAACCAGCAGTCAGGAACTGTGACAAAACAATTCAATGCTGTCACATACTGCCGCACTGCTGCGACAAAACCACAGATATTTTTATGGCTGTTATCAACTGAGCAGAGATCCATTTCCCCCTCATGTTTTGAGGGTGGGAAAAGATGCTTTGTTTTCTGTTTCTTTTAAACCTCCTATAACATCACAACTGCTTCAGGCATAACATAACAAGTTTCAGCGGTTACACAAAAACGCAGCTCAAAAAAAACAACACCTGTGCATCAATGTTTGTAAACTTATATTCAGTGAGACAGCACAGAAGAGTTTCTGCAACTGAACAGAAGTTTTGTATGAATAATAAACAATTGTTAGCATTACTTTCATCCTATTTCAGAAGACAATTAATGCAGAGGCTTCATTGCTCTTGAGGGCAGCAAACAGACAGCTGGTAATCAGCGTACACTGCAACAGGTATAGTGAGATTTCCAAAAACAAGGGTTTCTGTTTGAAAGCACACATTCCTTTTCAAGTCAGTGTTCTCAAACTGACTTAAGCTGTGCTTTAAATAATGTTACTGATTTAGATATACTGTACTCAAAGGGACAGGGAACCAGAATGGAAGACTCCTCAGAAATACCACATCCCTGCAGACGCCCTCAAACTGAGCTCTGCAGAGCCAAGCACAGCAACAGCTGTTCACCTCAAGGTGTGGATATCATTACAGTGATATAATGCTTAACAGCAGGAATCTCATCTATGATTTCACCTAATTACTGCACATCACATCACTGGTAAAGAGCGACACAGGATACGCCGTGGAAACTAAAACATGGGCAATTTGGAAACTAAAACATGGGCAATTTAGAAACCACAAGGGAAGATATGAATTTGGGCATATAAATGGTCAATGAAGCTAAATGAGGGCAGAAAGAAATAAAAAAATGTGAGAAAATGATTTCTGAATGAACAAACATTTATCAGATCCCCTCTCGGTCTTCTCTACTCAGGCTGAACAGACCCACATCACAGCCTTTCCTCATACACGAGATGCTCCAGGCCCTTCATCACCTTTGTGGCCCTTCACTGGACTCCTTCTAGGAGATCCTTGTCTTTTTGGAACTGGGAAGATGCATTAGTAGAAGCACTGATAGAAAGAGGTGCTTGCTGAAGACACTGAGAGAGCAGAGATCTGAGAACTTCAGCAGATTTGACACTGAATCTCACTTCTCCAGTCTCAGTGTCCTTAACTATACACACATAAATATCTCAACACATGCACAAATGTGCACCAATGTATTGAAATGGGACTGAGCTATGAAAAACACTTGTTTGGATTCTCACCTGTTGTACAGCACTGCAGAATGTCCAAACCTGTTCACATCATGATGGAGACCCGGGCGAGGAAGAACGGACCACTTGTTGCAGGCTAGGATTAAAGAGAGGAGATGATTAGCTGCAGGAAATGATTCTGCCTGTACACAAAACACAAAAATCTCTCAAGTCAAATGGGGCAGCTGATAAAAACACTGCAGTATCTGCTTTGTGCACGGCCAAACTGCCACCCATGCCCCAGATGACAGAGGGGGTAAGGAAGGATGTGGTTGTTCTGCACCACCACCTGAACAGTCCAGTTTTGTGGCCTTGTGTGGCGTAGATTAACAACTGTTTATGAGCATGGATGGTGATAGAACAAGGGGGAATGGTTTTCAACTGAGACAGGGGAGGTTTAGGTTGGATATTAGGAGGAAGTTTTTCACTCAGAGGGTGGTGAGGCACTGGAACAGGTTGCCTAAGGAGGCTGTGGATGCCCCATCCCTGCAGGCATTCAAGGCCAGGCTGGATGTGGCTCTGGGCAGCCTGGTCTGCTGGTTGGTGACCTGCACATAGCAAGGGGTTGGATCTGGATGCTCATTGTGGTCCTTTTCAACCCAGGCTATTGTATGATGATTCCATGATAGATGGTTGGCTCTTTGGCAATCACGTGTAATTAAATGGCAGCAATGCAAGTTGTTTTCTCTCCTTTGCAAATGGAGTATTTCATTGCATAACAAGTTCTGTTTTTATCTGTTGAGACATGAATTATTTGCAGTTTTGCCCTCAAACCAGCATCACTGAGAACAGAGACTTATCTTCCTCTTCTTTTTCATTGCAATTACGTTCCTAGAGGGTAGATATCCATGTTTTTAAAAATATTTTTCACTCATCATAGCTTCGGGATTTTTGGTTGTTTTTCTCTTTTAATATAATGTGAGATTATTCCATCTTTTTCTATTAGCATAACATTTATAAGTTCTGCTTCATTTCTAACTTGGTTTCTCAGGTAATTTCTTCCTCTAGGCAGCACAGAAAAAACAACCTAAGAAACCTATAACCCACTGAGCAATCAAAGGAACAAAAGCAGGAGAAGTCAGTCCAATTCACAGCACTTCAGCTTCGAAAAGGGAGTGGGATCACCTTGGGGGTTAATGTCCCAAAGGCAGTTGTATGCAATTTATGCAATTAAGACAGAAAAGTCAATCTGCTGTAAAGATCTACAGAGCCCCAAAACGCTCGCAGTTTCTAACGCAAGATAAAACTGTTGTTACAGGGAGTGAACCTCTGAAAAAAGAAGCCCATAAGCTCAAACCACTACATAAATAAATCAAGAGGGCAGAGAAAATCAGCTTCATTACTTTACAAAATTTAATTGGAGAGTTGCTGGGTAAGAAAGCTGATCCTCCACTGTGCACCTGCGGAAACTTTTGTTTGAGAGTGCCAGTAAATAGAAGATGTATGACCCAGTTGGTTGGGTTTAACACTTGGTAAATCATGACTCTGAAGTTTATTTTTAAACGTCACTTGCTCTATTTTTGAAGAATTTACCCTATGGAACAAGCATGCATGGTTTCAATTTCCAACAGGAGACCTCAGAATTGGACAGAGATTTGCGATCTTTTATCCAGCAAGTTGTGAGTTATGCAAGGCCAAAAAACATATTTTTCTAGATTAACAGAAGGTCTGGAATGTTTGGCTTTCTAAGCTTCTTTCCCATCTTTAACAGAAGAGTGAGTACAGGAAAAAATGACTGCTTCTAAAACTGCAAAGAATATACTTCTTCCTGACTTAGAAGTTAAGCCAAGCCTAAAGCTTACAATGCAGAGGATTTTATTAAATATGTTACTCAAATAGAATACATATGCTACAAAAACATCTAACCTCCTTCCAAGCCTGGCATCAGAACTGAATTTTTGAAGGGAGAAAGAAAAGTTTTAATTTCTCTCCCATAGGGAGAAGAGACCATTACACGAGCATAGGTTTTGCATGAATATTTCCTGCTGTGTTTTACGAAGAGAAACAACAAAGCTAAAACTTGTTTAGAAATGAAAGCGAATGATTACTTAAACCACAGTAATTGTGACTGGAGAGTTGGGCAGAGAAGAACTTGATAAGGTTTAGCAAGAGCAAGTGTAGAATCTTGCACCTGGGGAGGAATCACCACATGCATCAGTACAGGTTGGGGGAAGAGCTGCTGGAAAGGAGCTCTGAAAAGAAAGATCTGGGAGTCCTGGTGGACAACAGGAGCCAGCATTGTGCCCTGGTGGCCAAGAAGGTCAATGGGATCCTGGATGCATTACAAAGAGCATGGACAGCAGGTCAAGGAAGGTCATCCTCCCCCTCTACTTTGCCCTGGTGAGGTCACATTTCGATCCTGCGTCCAGTTCTGGGCTTTCCATTGCCAAAAAAGACACGGATCTCTGATTCCAGCAGAGGGCCACAAAGGTGATGAAGGGCCTGGAGCATCTCCTGTATGAGGAAAGGCTGTGAGTTCAGCCTGGGGAGGAGAAAACCGAGAGGGGATCTGATAAACATTGATAAAGATTTAAGGGAGGTGGGAGGCGAATGGATGAGGCCACGTTCTTCTCAATGCTGTGCAGCAATAGGACAAGGAGCAATGGCCTAAAACTTGAACACAGGAAGTTCTGTACTGACGTGTGGAAGAACTTCTTTACAGTCAGGGTGACGGAGCACTGGAACAGGCTGCCCAGAGAGGATGGGGAGTCTCCTTCTGTGGAGACACTCAAGACTTGGTTGGATGCCAACCTGTGCAACCTGTTGTAGGGAACTGCTTTAGCAGAAGGGTTGGACTTGATGGTCCCTCGAGGTCCTTTCCAACTCCTGTGATTCTGTGTTTTGAGACAAGTTGCCTGAGAAGTTACTATTCTTGTTTTGCATTCATCCCATACACGAGGGATGTGAACCTTTGGAAAGGACAACCTTTGCATTTCGCTGCTGGATTTGATCATAAGAAGATGCAAGGGCTGCAGCCCACCCTCGTCTCCTCTGCTGCTATGAATCGAGGGAAGAAGAGGATTGGATGAAGGCATTCGTCCACCCAGAGAAACAAATGCTAGGAAACTCTTCTATACCAGCCAGAGAGACTGATTTGGAGAATGGGAAGTGCTAAGCAGTCATCGTGGTGCACAGGACACAGGAAAAATACTGTGAGGCTGCTCTACCCAAGTGCTCACCCAACCTGAAAATCAACACAACCAAAGCTTATCCTGAGAAGCAATGAGAAACACACTCATGTACATCCAGCTGCATTGTTATCCTCAAACCTTCCAAAACTGGCATAAGGATGGGATAAGCCCCAACCTGGCCAGGTGCAGGGTAAAAGGATAAGAAGCATCAATGCCTTCTCAGATCTATCTAAAAACCCTCTAAGAACCTCTGCATGCCACAAAACAGAAGGCATGTCCTCACAAAACCCAATGCACGTGGCCTGACTACTTGAAAATTTGGGGAGGGCAAGGAAGAAAAAACTTGGTAAGGAAAAATAAAACAAGTCACTACAGAAATAACCATTAACAGTCACAATTATAAGGAAGAGCTGTCTTTGAAGCCTTTCCTCAACTTGAACTCCAATTTTCTCCACTCTTCCTACCAGAGCCCTAACGCATTCCTGGCTGCGCTTCTGGTCCATTTTCCATAGTGTTTCTCAGTGAGACAAGGCAAACCATGCCAGTAAAGCTGCCCTGATATGAAGGAGAAAGAAGAAGTGATCTTTTTTCCTTTGAAGAGCTGTTTTTGCCACAATCTGACCTGAGAGTCTCTGCCCCAACGAATGAGGGACAGAAGAGCACGAGAAGGACTCCCATCATTCTCATGCCAATTGCAATCAACGTAAGCTATAACTGTTGGCATAAAATTGGTAAAAAACTGGGCTGGCAAACTGCAATGAGCAGTTCCTGTAAAAGGAATTGCCTGTTAACTGCACTGAATCAAAATGAACTTCACTACTGGCATTTCTTTTTTCAAATTTGTGTCATTTGTGTTTTACACCTAATAGAGTTCACTGGGTGAGGGAAGACAGCAAAATGTATTAAGAAAAATCTATCCCCATTGATATGCAAGCTGATAGAAATTACTCTCTTGTGCTTGTCAAAATACCTCACATACTGAATGTTTCTCAAGTTAAAAACTCAAAATAAAGTTAGCTAAGAGCACACAACAGATTGCACAGGGAGGTGATGCGATATCAAAGAAAGTCAGGGAACAATTCCAGATAGCAAAATAGCACAAGGATGCCAGACTGATCATCAAAGTAATCCATTCACTGGCACATTCCCTTCACAAAACAGGAGTGACATCTCAGCAGACAGTCCTTCCAGGAAAGCAGGTTTACGTGATCACTTCTGGGAATAAATCACCAGAACCCTCATTTCAAGGAATAAGGAGCAGAAGACAGAATGTGATGTGAGTACAGAATGGCGTTTTTTGCCAGTGTGAATTATCTGGATTGTGCATGCATTGCCTTTTATAGAATTTCATCTCCTTTCTTCCTTAAACGCGGCCTGTGGACTCCACATTCACAAATAAATGCTGCCCTCTTCTGGCTGTTCACCCCCACCAAAACCTAATCCTTCCAAATAAAATCCGCTTGCTTGGCTTTATGATTAAATACTACTTACGGGGACATTTATGCTTACAAAGCACACGCAAACAAACTGACATTGCAAACAGCTCAGTGAAGCAATAGAGACAGCCCTCACTTCAAACAAGAGCATACAATGGACGAGTTGAGCTCTAGCAATGTCTGGTGCTTGTTACCATCCAAACAGAGCTTCTTCCTTAACTCAGAGATTAAGAGGGGGAGCGGCTGTTTATGAGGGTGGATGGTGATAGGACAAGGGGGAATGGTTTTCAACTGAGACAGGGGAGGTTTAGGTTGGATATGAGGAGGAAGTTTTTCCCCCAGAGGGTGGTGAGGCACTGGAACAGGTTGCCCAAGGAGGCTGTGGATGCCCCATCCCTGCAGGCATTCAAGGCTGGATGTGGCTCTGGGCAGCCTGGTCTGCTGGTTGGTGACCCTGCACATAGCAGAAGGGTTCAAACTAGATGATCACTGTGGTCCTTTTCAACCCAGGCCATTCTATCTGATTCTAAAGCACACTCAAAACCTCACTACAGCTTTTGGGATGAGACATCAGAAGAATGTGTGTTCTATTCAGGATGTTTTTTAATGTCTAAGGTGGTGTACAAACTGTTGGCCAACAAAACGCTGCTGTATTTGCCTAGAAATCTCTGCAGCAGTTCATTTGCTTGGTAATATGCACTAAGCTAATGTGCTCCTCCTGATTAAACATTCTTCTGCAGTACGCTTAGCAGCATTTGCTCCGATACACCCAGCATGTAAATCAGGCTTCGGGAAGCCGGGTCCTGCACTTCGGCCACAACAACCCCAGGCGACGCTACAGGCTTGGGGCGGTGTGGCTGGAGGACTGCGTAGAGGAAATGGACCTGGGGGTATTGATTGATGCTCGGCTGAACATGAGCCGACAGTGTGCCCAGGTGGCCAAGAAGGCCAATGGCATCCTGGCTTGCATCAGAAACAGCGTTGCAAGCAGGAGCAGAGAGGTGATTGTTCCCCTATATTCAGCACTCGTGAGGCCGCACCTCGAGTACTGCGTCCAGTTTTGGGCCCGTCACTGCAAGAAAGATATTGAGGCCCTGGAATGTGCTCAAAGGAGGACAACAAAGCTGGTGAGGGGTCTGGAACACAGGCCATATGAGGAGAGGCTGAAGGAGCTGGGAATGTTCAGCCTAGAGAAGAGGAGCTCAGGGGAGACCTCATTGCTCTCTATAACTTCCTGAAGGGAGGTTGTAGTGAGCTGGGGGTCGGCCTCTTCTCTCGTGTCATTAGTGATAGGACCAGGGGGAATGGTTTCAAGCTACGGCAGGGGAGATTCAGGCTGGGCATGAGGAAGTATTACTTTTCAGAAAGGGTGGTCAGGCACTGGAATGGATGCCCAGGGAGGTGGTGGAGTCACCGAGCCTGGGGGTGTTCAAGGAAAGACTGGATGTTGTGTTGAGGGACATGGTTTAGTGGGAGCTACTGGGAACAGGTGAACGGTTGGACTGGATGATCTTTTAGGTCTTTTCCAACCTTAGTGATTCTATGATTCTATGATTCTAAGGCAGCTCTTCTAAAATGTCCAGGGATATTTTGTGTTGTTCTTATTTCCCCCAAGAACTTACCGATATCGTAGGCCATAAAATCGGAAGAAAAGCACTTAGCACCGTGGCTCATGGAGGTGTCGTTGTGCGTGTTCCCTCCAAACACCAGCATGGTTCCACTCATTATCACGGCTGTGTGCAAATAGCGGAAAAATCTGCTGTCTTTAAGAATCGTCCTTCAGAAATAGAAAGATAGGGATTAATGAAACTGATAGGTACCTTGCAAAGGCACCAAATAATAAATCCAAGCTGAAGAAGGAAACTGAGAGGTGGAGGGTACTATTTAATTAGTTTCTCTAATGAGATTGAACAACTTTCTCTGCTGACTGTTCGATTCCTCCCGTAATCTCACTCTCATATTCTGATCTGCTCTCCATTTATAGGAGAAATACATCTAGGAAAGCAACCCTCCAAAGACATGGATCTTAATCATCAATTCTTTCCCTAGGGGTTGTGGAGCTTTCACACTAACACAGCTTCGAGCACAGTCAATTAAAACGTGCTGATACGGACACTGTCTGGGGAGACTGCAGTCCAGAAAAATTTATAGTAATCTAAACCATTTCTTTTAAAATCGGGTGTCATTTCTTGCTCAAAACCAACAAAATATTTCAGGGACATCATCTGTGTACTTGCCAAGAGCAGAGCCCTGCAGCTTAGCACCTGCAAAGCTCAACGCCTCACCCACGGTTAAATCAGGGCTGGCGTTAATCGTGTTACCAATGACCTCGCCTTTAATCAGCATCATTAACAGCACTGAACACAAAGGGTCACTGATAAGGATGAGGAGAGGGCTTTTTTTTTGCCCTAACTTACCATGAAATCCATGGAACATCAGAGAGAGTTGGCAGAGCAAGAAACCTACAGATAAGGACAAGCAGACACCGCTAGGTGCCCTGCTGCAGGGTGACTGCTGCCTGCCCTGCCAGCCAACAAGGCTGACAAAACAAACATAAAAGGAAGCTGCTGCTGAATGCTTTGGGCAGATATTGTCCCATTTATGATGTTTTCTGCCTATTCAGCCAGATCTGCCAAGCTGAACGGGAAGAACAAATGAACCAAGACAGGAAGTGTGGTTGTCGCTGCATGTGATTGAGCAGGAAGGCAGATTTTTGGCAATTAGTTACTTCACTCATCAGTAAAAACTCACCAACATCTGTTGCAGAAATACTACTTTAAACTCTCAAAAAAACAGAGGGATAGTGACTCAAAATGACACATGGCCATTCAAATACCAGCCTTCGTATTCACACAGAGCCTTTAAAAATAAATTAAGACAAACACAACACCGACAAAAATGTACTTCACCTCTACAGCTCGAAGCTGTGAAGTTTTGCTATAGCTGTATAATAAAACTCACCTCTGGGCAAAAAGCAATCACAGAAGATGTCAGTTTAGGAAATAAACATTTCAAATAATTACGGGGCCGGAAGAAGATGGGGACGCATAGAAATTCTTGTGTGGGATTAATGCAGAATGAATTACCACTCACTTGATTACAGTAGCCACGTTCATATGCATGGTCTGAAGTGCTGGCAAAAAAATACCATCAAACAGTTTTCCTTTCAGCTTTAATACAATGATAGATGAAAAAGGATTTCTTGGCTTGTTCACAGCCTTGATTATATGTGACTGCATGATTCTCTTGTCATAAAGGGGCATCAAACTTACAGACAAAGGAGCACACTGTCCTGAATGCAAGTAGCTATGTGCAACTGTACCCTTATCACACAACCCATCCTCTTTTCCACTACATACAACAGTGAGATGCATACAGGAACAAGAAGTACTCACCACATCCGGGAATCAACTTCATATCTGTACAGGTCATCTGCTAACCTGTATTTGTTGGCACTGAATGCCTTGTAACCTCCGTGGATATAAATGGATCTTGTATGTGGATCATAAACACTACTGTGACCATACCCTCCCTGTACCAAAGCTCCACTTGTCTGTAAGATGCTCCACGTGTTTGTGGCTGAGAAATGAAAAAAAGTGAGTGACAAAACACAAGTTAATTTACCTCTGTTAGTAACCTATCGACAAATCTGATGATGAAACAAATTGGGTTTCACTTGGCTCAGAATTAGATACCTTCTCTATGATTTGACATCCAAAAATATTCTCCTTCAAGGAGTAAGTATGCTGCGAAGAATTATTGCCAAGTGTTTTTAATTAGACCAGAAAAATCTCGTTTACAGTCACTTATTAAACGTTGCAGACAAGCTAAGTAAATGAGAGATAAAAAGCACAGAAGGAATATATTGCATCTCAGTGACATGAAAATGACAGCACTGCAGCTTGATTCAGAATTGTACCCGAGAGCACTTTTATTTTAAATATTTAAGGCCAGACTGCACAGAAGTTAAGGATGATTATGAAGAGCACTCTAGTTAGAAACTAACATGTGATTAATGACTCTATATTCTTGCTCACTAAAATAACATTTGTTTGGTACGTTCCTTACGTGGTCAGCAGAACAAGGACATGCCTCCAGAGAGCCATTTCTGGCCATTTCTGAGCAGCTGCCTTAGGCAGCACCTCATCTGGAAAGCTTCCTACGCTTCTCCACTGCTAACAGTGGAAATCTCTGCATCCTCAAATCAGTCTGGACTGTTCCCAGTGATATGGGACAAATGGGAGTCCAGAAAGTTATTCTCCTTTTCCCCTAAGGATTCACTAATGACTGCTACAGAGGCTGGGATATTGAGTTAAGTGGATGCTTGGTCTGAATTGTTACATCCATTTTTGTACTCAGAGGAGGCAGAAGTAATTTTGAAAATGTTTGCTTTGCAAGAAAGAGAAAGGAAAATGAATTCAGATGTCTCACAGTTATCCTGCTTCACCTCTCAATTACAGCTTTTTCATCTTCGGGATCCAATAAGCTGTATAAAGCTGCAAGTACATGGCTGTCTGCTCACACAGCTACACAAACACTAAAAGTAGGACTGAATTTCTCATAAATACAACTCCAAGGAGAAGAACGCAGCCACCCCCTGTGTTGCAATCTGGATATGCATCATCTCAGCAATTTCCAAACCAGTTGCTAACAAATGGTAGGTGGGGCCCAAACTCACCTAAGTTGTACTCCTGGACGTTGCTGATGTACCCATAAAGGGGACAGTGCCCAAAGATGACAAGCATGACCACGCTCTCATCCTCCAAGGTGACAATGTGTGCTGAATGGCCAACCACAGCGTACTGCTCCTTGGCTTTTGGTGCTGCCTGAGTCCAGGACTGGCTGGGAATGTTAAACACCCACAGCTGGCTGCTCACATTCCCCGTGGCATCTATTTTTCCACCATACATGTATATGTCATCCTAAAAGAGGAGAGATTTAAAATGAGCCCAATGGGTTTGGCATTTAGGAAACAGCCTGGCAAAAGAGGCAGTTAAGATAGAAAGTGCTTTTGGAATGAAGAGTGCTAGGATAGTTAAACTAGGTTTTATTAATCATGCTTTAAGAGTGAAGCTCCTGAAATCTTCTCTAGTTTTATCTGTGGGTTTCTCCAGATGTCTCACAGTGACTCATGAATACCAAGGGTCCAGAGGTGCCCCACTCTGCTGCTAACAAGATGGTAACCTTGGAAAGGAAAGCTCTACTGCTATAGCTGGTGCTGCTTGGAAAACTGCAGAAAAGAACTGCCTGTCGCTGACAGTGAACATACTACAGTGTCTGACTTCCAACAGTTATCCTTTTTCACACAGAGGTGGTGAGGCACTGGAACAGGTTGCCCAAGGAGGCTGTGGATGCCCCGTCCCTGCAGGTAGGTATTCAAGGCCAGGCTGGATGTGGCTCTGGGCAGCCTGGTCTGCTGGTTGGTGACCCTGCACACAGCAAGGGGTTGAAACTGGATGAGCATTGTGGCCCTTTTCAACCCAGGCCATTCTGTGATTCTGTTTCTATCCTCAGAACATGCACTGATAACTTGCAGCCAGGGATTCCCATCTTTCTCAGTTTTTTTCCAGGGTTCTGTTTGTGGATGGTGCTGTCTGGACTTTTTCAAGTTTTTTAAATTACGTTTAATATGAGCTTCCATTGCAATAAGCTGCTTAACAATCTAAAAAATCAAGGATCAACAAAGTGATAGGTCACTTTATTCTCAAATGAACCAGCAAGCCAAAGACCTGGCCATTCTGCTCTCACGTGGTCTGCACCCACAGGAAGATACTGCAGGTGAGAAATGAGGTAAGAAATGGTCAAATCTATTTATTTTAGATGCTGGAAGAAAAGATTCATGGATCTACTGCAAAACAGACTCCAAAAATCCCTAATTCACCAGCTCTCCTACTGTGCTTTGGACAACAGATGCTTCAAAACCAGACCCTTGGGAGCTCACAGCAATCGTGTGGTCTACACAAAAGGCAACTGGGAAACTGGCTGGATGTGGCTCTGGGCAGCCTGCTCCAGTGGCTGGCAACCCTGCACACAGCAGGGGGGTTGAAACTAGATGATCATTGTGAACCTTTTCAACTCAGGCCACTCTATGATTCTACGAACCAGGTGAACTCCAATAAACCCCAACCATCACACACATCTTACAAGCCTCAGAATGTCTGAGAAAAGTGGGAAAGGAGGAACACACGAGCAAAGGCACTACAGCCTCCTAGGACCCCAAGCCAAGGATTCCCTGCAGTGCACAGACTGCATTACCCATGGACAAATCCTGGAAGGAGAAGTTTCTCCCAAAGCAAGACTGAGCTGTGGAAAGGGATGGGTAGGGTTGGGATGAAAAGCACTGAACATACCTTATGTAGTGCCAGTGAATGACCGTATCTCATCTCTACTGAGTTCACAGTGCTGTTCAGTGGAAGCCACTCTTCAGAAATAAGATCATACCTGTGTAGTAAAAATGGAAAAGATTTCCAGAGAAGTTTGATAGCAAGTTGAGAAAATTCGTGTTTGTTCTTTCTAGGGGTTGGAAATTCTTTTATTTTACAGAAGTCCTATCAAGATTTCAGCATACACCAAGTATGCACACACACTGCTTATGGATTAAAAAACAAAATCCCATCAAGTCTACTCAGCATCCACATCTTGATTGGCTTTACCCTGAGTTTTCCTTTCCTGCAGAACCAAGAGATGATGCACTGCCTCTATGCTATAACTTACAACAGATGATCCATCCCAAAGAGTAGAAAAAGGTTACTCGAAGCCCAGGTAAATTCCAATTACTTGATAAAAATAAAACTGCCACTGTTAGAAGGCACTTTTAATTATGTCTTTGTCATTCAAGCTTATTTTTTCAGAGAACTTGAAATAAGATAAAAACTCTACCCTGAAAATGGCCTCTGGCTTTTCAGATAAACGAATGAACTATATTTGCCAGACTTACAGCTGTGCAAGATAAAATAATCTCTGAGAAAGTCTTTAATGAAGGCACAGGTTATCAGTTGAAAAATCAGGCATGACTTTGAAAAAGCAAACCATGAATGTAATCTGCAACTATTTTACAAGAATGTACACATTTGCAGCTGCCCTGTAACTCCTGCTAAATAAAAGCACAGCTCTGACTTCGGTCAATGGAAGCGAAAAACTTAGTTTTTGCCTGGATCTCCCACAATGACATCCAGTTCAAGAGAAAGCCTGAACGTGTTTTTATGGGGCATTCCAATGAGGAACCACAATTATTGTTTGGTATCCTAGCTAACGTTCAGTATCCCAAACAGTCTGCATGAATGGCATCATCCTAAGTGCCATTCCCAGTTTGGTATCCCATTCCCTACGCATAAACAGTCACATCCCCAGGAATCATTGTGTCTTCATGAAGGAATCAAACACTGAATACAGACAGACACAACATAAGGAAGGGCTAATAAAACAGAAGCAAAACTGGATTGCAAGGCTAGATGTAATTTACAAACCAGCTTACAAAACATACAGTAAACAGCTGAATGCTGTCACAAGCAGATGAACCAAAAACTCACAGAGCAACAGAAACTTACACTTTTCTTCTCCAATATTGCCTACTTTATCAGCATTTTCCCACACCTCCAACCTTGAGTTTAAGTTTTATTACTGTTATTTCCCCTTGGACATGGAGCATAAGCCAAAGCACAGCGTGTCAGGTAGCATTTTCTAAAAATAATTCTCAGATCTCTGTTTTTGTGCTTAGATTCTGTTATTGGGGTTTATACTCACGCTAAAACCTTCTGAGTGTCAGAATGATTGAAGACGTAGCCTCCAACAATCCACATTTTATTGTCGTGGATGACGGTTTTGTGAGATGCTCTAGGAAGTTTTGGAAGAGAATATTCCTCACGGGTCCAAAACGACCGATTTGCAGGAACGGGAATTGAACAGCCAGGACCTAGGAAACAGTTTTAGAAGTTAAGCAAATGCTTTCCAAAGTCAGCATTTCAGCTAGAGGTCAGTATCCCGCACACTGGTGGCAAAGAGCACGGCCTGGTGGAAGTTGTGCTCATCAGAAATGATCTACAATGGATACGATGTGAAGGGACTTCTGTGATGGAACCACAACCACATACTACAAGAGGCTGTAGAAGGAAAAAGCAGATCCAGACCAGGCAAAGCTGTGATGAAGCAAAGCAGACACCCAGCTCTGTTCTCTGCCCCTGTGATGATAGGGAAATGGTGCAGACCCCTTCCCACTCGACAACGCAAGGCCGTCTATCTCCCACCACCTTTCTGCCTGCCATGTATCCTCAAGAGCCCCAACACTCAAGGGTCATACAGCACTGTTTGCTGTCTTTCCTGCTTTTTGTTCCTCCCCTTTCCAGCGCCATGTTTTTTATGAACTGTTCACTTCTTGTTTTATCTATATTTCTGCTGCTCTTAAAGCAGCTTCACTGCCAGGGTTCCCTTCAGAGCTACTTCCTACTCTGTGGGACCCCATTAAGAGCCACAAAAGAGGAAAGTTTGGAGAAGCCACACAATATCCCAAGTTGGAAGGGACCCATAAGGATCACTGAGTCCAACTAGAGGACCCACAGAATTTCATCCACGCTTCAGATCCTCACAAAACAATCAAAAAAAGCAGCACACGGTGGCCAATTTGGATCTTCCAGCTCCCCGAGGCTTAAAGGTTGTGGGTGGATCAGTTCTGATTATTATTTTTTTAATTACTGTTCTCAAATTTCATTTTAATCTGATGCTTGCACACGTCAAGTTGGCAACTTTGCATGGTAGCACAGCTGCTAACAAGAACTTCTTCCCAACAATCTGTTAATAGGAGAAGCTGGATGGAAGCTTGATTTTCTTCCCAGTTAAAGCATAAACATTTGTCAAGAACAGTCTCAAACACTTCCAAGAACCACATACATCCTCTTAACAAGAGGTTCTTCACAATATTCAGACTTACCTTGCCAGCCTGCAGAGCAAACACATGCTTTAGTATCATTGAAGTTGCAAAATCCCCTCTCTGGTGCCCCACAGTCATCTGTGCAGTAGGGAATATCACAAGCTTCTCCCTTCCAGTATTTGGCACATTCACATTCAAGAGCATTGCTGCTGCTGTTGAGCTTGCACTCTCCTCGGCCAGAGCAATTATTGGGACACGTATTGAAACTGCAAACATCAGGGAAAGAAGGTTCATCAGTAATGAAACAGGCTCCCCTTATTAACTAGTACAAGAGTGATGCTGAACAGAAGCTAATACAGCAGCTCAGTTGTTTGTTAATAAGCAAACCAAGAATCATCTGGAGTTCGATGCGATGGACCTGCATTTGTTCTGTACCTATAACGTGCAGAGCTGCCCCACTTCATGAGTTAAACCTATGTAAAATGACCAGGGTGACTTTTAGCCAGTTGTAATGCTAACAGATTGCCTCAAAATCCCCAACAGTAAGTGAAGAATTCCATCAGCACACAAGGCTTTGGTGGTGGCTCTGCAGTGTAGGCTTAAGCTGCTCACATTCAGATGCTGTTCTAGGATCTGTTTATACAATGAACACGCTTGAGACGAATCCCAAGCCAAAGGTGTGTTTCTTCTGAATAATTTCTAATTCTATAACTTTGGCAATTTAACTGAGGCAAAATCAGACACATTCTTGTTGAGGACCCAAAGGGTCAACTCAAGGACTGCCCAAAAACTCAAGGACTACTTCTCAGTATTCTTACTGTCAAGCAACAGGTGAATCACTGGTTCAAGCCCATGATTTCACAATATCTGCCTCCAGTAGTAACTCTAAAGACCATTAAACTCAAAAGAAATAAATCATTACTCCTCAAAAACATTAAGAGGAAATCTAGTAACTAGAACTGACAGGAGAAAAACATACAAAACTGTACCTGAAGATGGTTTGAAATCATCAAGAGAAGAGTTAAAGTCACATTAAGAAGTTATAGAGAAAATTATAAAGGCAGATTACGCTCGGAGAGAACTTCATAGAATTTCAGAATGTTATCAGTTGGAAGGGACCTTTAAAGGCCATCTGGTCCAACTCCCCTGCAATGAACAGGGATGCCTACAGCTACAGCTTCACCACCATCGCATCAGTGCAATGCTGACGGCTGGCAGTAGATGGTGTCATGGTTTATGGTATCAGCCAACCTTTCAAAATGAACTGCTTCAGCTCCCGTGTTTCAGGCAACAGGGCAAAAGCTCATTTCCTTCTGGATGCCCCACGTTTTTCAAACAGTTGACTGCATTTTGAAGTGCTTAAAAAGGAGGAAAGCACCAAAACTGGCTTCAAAACTGAGCGACCTCACTTTAGTTGGTTGTGACCGAGGACTTTGCAGCTGGTTGTTTCTGAAGACAGAGCTAAAAACTTCTTAAATTTACACCCAAATTAAAGTCTCCTGGTGCAGCACATATGTCATTTGTATGAGCATATGTATATGTTTCCTATTTTAAATATGAAACAAACAAAAAAACCCAAAACAGAACAAAACCATTCTTGAATAAGAAGTCAGATTCAGCCATTCAGTCCAATTAAAAGCAGAGTTCCATGGTTAACTGCTGAAGGGTTCTCAGTAATAGGTCCCATCCAGTGTCCCAAGTGAAATGCAGGCACTAAAGCAAAAGCATTTCTGTGCAGAAGCATCTCTGCAAAATGCATAAGGACACACAATATATCAGTTCTGCCTGCCTGAATACGATCACATAAAATCTAATCATATAAAATAAATACTACGATGTCCTTTCTGAGCAAACATTTGCCCACACTCACAATTGACAACTGAAGCTGACGCTGAGCACATTACAGTTATTAGCCAGTGTAAGAGTATAATAAAGATAGAATCTAAATTCAAGTATCTGCTCGTAATTACATGCTTCAGTGGCAATTGCTTTTTCCAAGACAAGATTGAGGGAAGAGGAAACCTCCTTCTGCTCAACCTGCAACATTTATGCAATGTACAAATCACTTTGGAGTGGTACCACTTACTTATACGTGATGTTAAACCCTGTCAAATTATAAGCAGCATCACTGAAGAAATGCAGAAGAGCATATCCAGAAGTAGCTACAACTTCTGGGACCGTTTCATTGCTGTCCTTCTCAGGAACAATCAGACCACTGCAAAAGAGGAAAAGAAAAAAAGGTAGAAATGAAACAAAAGGGAGCAAAACAACGAGAGCAAACACAGTACGCATATAGGTATGAATAGAAAATTGAAACCAAAAGTATTTATTTGCATCTATTTCAAGTATAACGAATTTGCATACAGTAATTACCATTTTCACAGGGCAGTTATTAGACAGGTTTTCTTCAACAGAGCTCCTTAAACATTTCAAAAGAAAATACATCAAACTTGTGAGCACACTCCAACAAACCCATTCCAAATGAACTAAGAACACACAAGACCTCTCAGAAAGAGAAAACTGCATTCCACAGGGACCAGTTTATTAACACATGTCTTAATTATGTGCCAAACAGAGGCCACGTTACCGACCAAAGAGTCCTAACAAATCTCAGGGCACTGAAAACAGCATTACCACTGCTGTCAGCACGCGTGATTTCGGCATGAAAGAAGGAATGACTGAAGAAGGAATGCAAATAGAAAACCCTGAAGTAGCCAAGTGGGTTCCCCTGAAAGATAAATGTACAATAAAAGTGTTCGGTTTGAGTAACCCTGAAGCTGTCTGCAATCATTGCTTTCCTATACCTATAAAAACCTACTTTCCTCTCTTGCTATTCTCCAACAGTTTAAACAGGATCTGTTCCTGAAACAAGGTGACACATTTCAAGGCAGAAATGAATGTCACAGAAGCACAGAACCCGCTGTACCAAGCCAAATGACAGGACTGTCAAACCAGGCATCTCCCTCTAAGCAAATCCTTGGGAAAGACTGCAACAAATGAAGCAAGCACAGAGCATGCTGGTGGTGTAGTTATCCAGCTGCTGGAAACCCACAGTTGAGGCACTTTCTGACCTGCAGAATGCAATCTATTTGCTCTTTCTTTGCCTGGATCATCTGCAGCAGGCAGATCAGCAATTCAACTCTGCAGTGATAGAGGGAAGCCCTTGCTGGCTTCACATCTGCTTGGGCTTCTCCACTGTGAGAAGTCAGTATAACCACCCTCACTCACCACTTTCTGCCACCTCCTGTTGTGTAGAGCTCTATCTGACTCATCCATTCTTCCCGTCCTTTTGAACCTGAAAGGCTGCCACACTCCTTATCCCCATCTCATCCTTTGATTTCATGCTTCTGATCAACCCCAACAGCCTTCCAAGTTCTGTCAGATCCTTCCAGTTTGAGGAGAGAGGTGGACAGAAATGAGGATGGTGGCCAAGACCATTTATCTCAATGCGACAGGTGATGGGACACAAGGAAATGCTCTCAAAATGCACCACACTGGAGAGAGGGGCGAATTTCTTCACTGAATGGTCAAGAATAGGAGCAGGCTGCCCAGGGAAGTAGTGGTGTCCCCAGCCCTGAAGGCATTCAAGACATGTGCCAATGAAGGACATGGCATAGGGATGGGACTCCACGGGTCACACTGATGCTTGGACTTGCTGCTCTTGAAGGTCTTTTCCAGCCTAGATAAGTCTTTGATTCTATTCAAGCAGGCACAGTACAGTTTTATAGAATATACTTCTAAATACTTGAAGTAAACCAGCAAGAGTAAATGTCTCTTGAAAAAAAATGAACCACTCACAATTTACCTATTGCACAAAATAGCTTCTATCTGAAAGGGAATGTTTATCCCTCTTTTAACAGAAGCCTGACACCCATAAAACAAGGTTAATTCCTCCCTTACACAAGACACAAGAGCAGTCATAACTCTGAAGGTCTATTGAATCTTTTTTTAATCCTTTACCTAAGCAAAGTATATTATCTACAACCACCTATTAATAGCTGGCTGCTATTTTTCTTACACAGAAGTAATTTCCCCCCCAGTCTCCGTCCTGTTTCCATCAAAGGCCAAGCCCAAGCTTTCTGAAAGCAGAGCCTCCAATATTGCACAAATATGGGGTCCTAGAAAAGCAGAATCCAGCTTGCACTCCAGGGATCCTGCACATCCAGGGGCAAGAGCAGCTAAAAGCAAGGATGAAAAGAGTCTTTCCCCTTAAAAGATCTTATTTTTCCTCGTTCCAGAGTTATTCAGAACAGGGAGCTTTGAAGATGGCTGCTGGCACAGGTTAAGTGCATTTCTGCACCTACGGAAAGAACCCACAGCTGACCACAGCAACCCATTCACATCACCTGTAAAACACTTTTTGTGACCTAAATTTTTCTGTGCCTGTAATACAATACAATGATGTGCTTGCAGAGATCCCGACTGAAGGCTTTTGCTGTACAACGGGGGGGGGTGTTTGCCCTACAAATGCCAGAGGCACATTACCTATGTCAGAGTAAATATCCAGCCTGCACAACGGCCCTTTCTGCACAAGTCATCCCACTGACCCAACCTCATGCTTCGTTTCACCAACGTGCCATAATGATGCTGTGACCTCACCCCGTGTTTTGGCTAAACAACGGCAGCACATGTGCAGATATGGAGCTCAATGCGTATTTCCTTGTGAGGAGGCCAATTATTTTTCCCTTTCAGATCTCAAGGATACAGGATTAAAAGGCAAAACGCACTGCTTTTTTCTATGTGCATCAGAGGTGCCGGCTTCGTTCTGAAATTTCAGACTTCTGATCTGCAGATGATCTCTCCCAAAAGGCCGTCTCCCAGAATATCAAAGAACAAAAAGCCTAATAAACTTCTCTTTGCTGTTTGCTTCATATACAGTTTTCCTTTGTAATGCAAACTGTAGGACAGCACGCCTCCACCGCAGGAAAACAGACACCTGAATAGAATTGAGGGAAAGGCAAACTACAGCTCGGGGACCAAAAACTCCTTTGTTCTGTTTTATTCTCCTTTGGTCTCATCCTTGCAACATATATCCCTGATACGACGCAGGAATTCAGCTGGAAGGCCCTGCAGCAGGGAGAGCAAAGCAGCAAACACCAACCAAAAGACAGAACAAACAGCAGGAATGAAAGCACACGCTATCCCCCTCAAACCATCTTCTCTAATAATATAAATGCTAGGCTTGTGTTGGTCATTTTCTCTTAGAAATCTCACTTTGGGGATTTGCTTGGTAAGAAGGCAAGTACCTCCACAGCATTAGTTCTCCTTGTTCCTTCCTTCCTCACTACCTTTTTTTGCTTCCCTGAAGACAAAGAGCACGAGGGACGTTCCCTGTGTGCTGGTGGCACTTCCGAGGCACAGACAGACAGATAAGGAAAGCAATCGTGTTTTACGTTGCTACACGGGTATTGAGTGGTGGAGTGAGATTCAAATGAATGACCTGTGTGATTTATCCCACCTGCACAAGTTTAACACTGGAACAGGCTGCCCAGAGAGGCTGCAGAATCTTCTTCTATGGAGATATTCAAGACCCATCTGGATGCTGACCTTTATGACCCATCGTAGGGAATTGCTTTAGCAGGGGGTTGGTCATCTCTTTGAGGTCCTTTCCAACCCTTAGGAAAAAAATCCTGCAGGCACAATCTGAATAACAGCTTATGGAAAACTTCCCTTAAACAACAATCCAGAATCTCTCGGGCTCTGGCCAAGATCATTCTGTTTCACAACACGCCATTTCCATTTGCTTTTGAAAGCTGCAGACCATTTCGCAACCACCACTACTCCAAAGCAAACAAATACTCCTACTCAGCCAAGCTGCCCAATGGCACTGCTTCTTAGAAGCTGTAAGGCAAGCCCCTGTTTTGGCCCGAAACACTTCCATTTGCTGCGCACTGGACTTGTTGAGTCAGTGAAAACAACAGTAGGGCACCCAACTTCGCCATCACCCCACACCGTGCCTTGATCTCTTTCCCTGCACCACACACCAATAGGAATTAGCTAAAATGAAGGGCATCTCCTTCCTTCTTTTTCCTTCATTTGCTATGGTAGCAGGATGAGGAGCACGGATTCACCCTTCACCCTCGAGACAGAACCTGCCAGGAAGGCAGAGATGAAAAGCCTTAGCAAGGAGGAAGATGGGAGCTGTGTACAGAGAGGGGGGAATGCAGGATTCACATCACAGGGAAGCAGAAGGATGAAGGCGACACCAAAACTTGATGGCATGTTGGCTTCTCAGTCTCCTGACACAGAGTGCAAAATCATTCTTTTTAGTTTATCTGGGTACATGTGTGCAAAACTGCACCTTATTAAAGCACTCCCCGTGCGTTAGCCATGCTCCCAACAGCAAAAAAACAAGCGTAAAATAAACAAACCCAAAATAGAAGTTACAGCAGATTAAAAATAAATCAATGCCAACAGAAAACGGGGGAGGAGGATAAGGAAACAGATCTCAAGTTTCTGTTCTTAAAGGAAAAGCTAACGTGCTTGTGCGAGGAGATGACTCCCAGAAGTGGGCTCTTCAGCAAAGCTGGTACAACACCAATTACCAAAAACCAATCCAACTGATTACTGAGAGCTGGCAACAACCAAAGCAAGCCTATTTCTTGAAAGCATCTTCCCTGTTTCATTAAGGACAGCAATAAGCACTGCTGCTGCAGCGCCTGCAAGGGGCACACAGCATCGGTGGCACTGAGGGATGTGGACAGTGGGCACAGTGAGGCTGAGTTGGGGACCACAGTGGCCTTTTCCACTCCAGAGACATTCTGATTGAGCAAATCACACTTATTCAAAGCATCAGCTGCCTCACAGGCAGCATACAGGGTAACCGCCAGTGAGGGACATTGTGCAGCAGGTCAATTAATGCTTGCAAGCAACACAACACAACTGAGTGCAGGGTGTGAGCAGGGTTTGCAGAGCGGTTCAGGAAGGGTGCTGAGGACAAAGCAGAAGAAAGCACGAGCATTTACACGTGCCTGTGGCAGCAATACGAGTTATGATTAATGGCACTGAAAGAGAGGCTTGGGGGAGTGGAAGGAAAACAAACCTTAACACAGGAGTGGGGTCAGAGGAGACGCAACATGCGTGCACAGTGAAGGAGGAGAAGCGAAGAACAGGAAGTTTCTAACTAATGTGCTGAGGGAAGTGGAACCAAGAGGTCTCATGAGACTGTACTGGTTCCAACTTGAGGTCCCCAGCACAAAACAGACTGGAGCACGTCCAGCCAGTGACCAATCTGATGGCCAGGGGCCAAACAGATGAGGAAGGCAGAATCACAGAATGGCTGGGGTTGAAGGGACCTCAAAGATCATCAGTTCCAACCCCTTGCTGCACATGGGGTTGCAAAGCACTAAATCAGACACTAAATCAGGTTGTCCAGGGCCCCATCCAACTTGTCCTGGCTTTGGGTTAGGGCCTTGAATGTCCCTTCCAACGCAACCATCCCATGTTCTGACTCAAGCTGGGTTTGGCAGTGCCACATCTGACGGGCAGCAGCCAGAGAAAGGGGACTGCTCCCATGTGAGGATGGCAGGGCAGCTCACAGGCAGCAATGTCCGTGGGGCAGCCAGTGCCATCTGTCAGTGCTGTCGCTGTGACCATCCATCTGTGCCCAACACCACAGCGAGGTGCTTCGGGGCGGCCAAAGGTCTTGCAGAAAGAGGTCGTTGTGAGCAGGAAGAACACAGCATGCTGACCAGCCCAAAACAAAGGTAAATGCTCAAGAGCAGCTCCAGTAAACGTTTAACATGGAGTGAAAAATAACAGCAACGAAGTTCACAGATGACAGAGTGTATGCTATTCAGATTTCACCATTCAGTGCTGATGAGAACACTGGATTTTAATCAGCTCCCTGCTCCTTTATTGTGTATCTGAAGCAAAATATTTAAACAGCATTACGTTGCCTATGATTGCCACTATAAACCAGCAAATGCATTTTTGACAACGCTTCATGGAAGCAAAGCTTAGCATGGTACAGGATGGGACCACCCCACACACTCAGGCTACAAGGAGTTCAGTAAAGAGTTGATGGCAGATATTCTACATACATGTTTGTGGCAGAGGAATTTGGAGCTCTTGGAGTAGGTCCAGAGGAGGGCAATAAGATGATCAGAGGGCTGGAGCAGCTCTGCTGTGAGGAAAGGTTGAGGGAACTGGGCTTGTTGAGCTTGGAGAAGAGAAGGCTCTGGGGAGACCTCACTATGGCCTTCCATGCTTGAAGGGAGCTTATGAACAGGAGGGGGAACGGCTGTTTATGAGTGAGGATGGTGACAGGACAAGGGGGAATGGTTTTAAACTGAAACAGGGGAGGTTTAGGTTGGATATTAGGAGGAAGTTTTTCACCCAGAGGGTGGTGAGGCACTGGAACAGGTTGCCCAAGGAGGCTGTGGATGCCCCATCCCTGCAGGCATTCAAGGCCAGGCTGGATGTGGCTCTGGGCAGCCTGGTCTGCTGGTTGGTGACCCTGGGTTGGAACTGGACGAGCATTGTGGTCCTTTGCAACCCAGGCCATTCTATGATTCTAGGACTCTGTGAAATTTCTTTCTTGCGGCTAACATGCATAAAACTGATTTCAGTTGTTCCATAGCCCCAGTGCTGAGGATTTCCAGGATAAACATCATATTTTAAACAAATGCATGTGAACACCAGAAGGCTGAGAAAGTTAAAGAGAGCAGAGAAGGAAGTGAGGTTTAAAAGAAAAAAAAAAAAAAACAGCTGAGCCTTGGAGAGTTCTGGGAGGAATTTACAGTGTTTATCAACAAACTCAGAAAGCTGACAGTGCCCAGAGGTACAAAGCTCAATCTTGCAAGTCCTCCGGCACGGTGCAAAAATAGTGAAGAGCAAAAGATGGCTTTGGTTAATGTTAAAACTTAATAAGAGCCAAGAAAATAAATAAAATGTGAACACTGCTTGAGAAATCGTAGAGCATTTATTTTTGTACTGGAGAAAAGTATTTTTCAACAGATGCCTTTTTCGCACTTGATCAAAATTAGAAGCATCTGCTGTTTCCTGAACTTGGTTTAGTGAACAACACAGCACAGTACTAATGAAGATGAAACTCAAATGTCATCTAAAGAAGCAATTAGAAAAAAAAAAAAAAAAGGAGTTTTTTTTCCTACCTCAAAAATGTTATTGTATTAAGCTCACGCTTGCCTGTCCTCGGGCACAGATTTCCCAGTGATTTACAGATGATTTTCAAGTCTGAACTGTAATTGTTCATGCTATGAACTACTTCTAACCTCAATTTAGAAAGCCTATTAATTTTTGGAAAACACACCAGGAACTGCAGGCACAAATCATGATCATTTCACCTTTTCAACGGCGTATTAAAAATTACCTCGATTAGAGCAAAATGACTCTGAGTCAAGATGACATTTCTTCCTCTTCACGCATATCAATTCAGCACACGATACCAGGAGAGGGATTCCAGGTTCTTTTTAGCAGAGAGGTGGCTTCTTCTTCTCTTCAAATGGGGAGAGATGGCCCTAACGCTTTGTTTGCATGCTCTGCTTTAACCTCAGGTTAGAGTTTGGAGGTTTATAGGCTGACTTACCACCGCTGTTTCTGAACACCAAGATGCTGTTCTGTAAGAACCACATGGCTGCAGCACTGATTAACTGGCTTCTGCCTTGTGTCAGCGTGAACATGCCACAAGCTGAACTTAAGTCACAGTCATGCTCAATAAATGGGGCAGTTTGATGCTTCTGAAGGAGCCAGCACACCAAATCACCCCCAGCACAACCAGATGACAATGACTGTGCCTAAAATAATCAGGATTTGGAAGGGAAAAACTAATACTTTCATGCTACAGTGTAGTAACATGATCTGTTCATTGTAAAAGCAAAAACAACTCCATAATTGTTGATGCTGCCGATGACTGCACAAAAGAACACTGTATGTGCTGTACTGGCAGTATTATATATTTAGGTTACTGGAACATATTTATGCTGCTAAAAGCCACATCTGATTCAGGCTCCAAGTTAAAGAAATAGCACTGCTTACAGTTAAGACTCTTAACAAGTGAACTTACCTAAAAGCTGCCAGTAAAGGAGCATAAATTGAATCTCCATCATACACATATAAGTGGTCCCAACTGCACTCTGTGGCAAAGTGATTGAATCGAAGCCTCAGGATTGTGTTTGGCCTGTAAAAAAAAACAATAAAGAAGAATTAAAAGATTTGGAATTAGCCACTCCACACACACAGCAAAGTCCTTCCAGCAAGCTCCTGCAATGTGAAGCATGCCTCTAAACAAGACTGAAACAGTTTTAGTGCAAATGCAGATGCATCAAACATGTCATGGCTTTCATTTTTGGCACGCACGCTCCACTGTTATTAAGGGAACAGATTCTTTACAGTCAGAAAAACAACTGTGTCCTTAAATCTTCCCCCACCACAGAGGGCAGAAATTGAAGAGCACGCACAACCAGCCCACTGCTCTTTACCTCTAATGATAGGGCTCTGCAGGGGTAAGCAAAGAAAATCTGCACATACAATACATGTAAAGAATCACAGCCACCATTAAACAATCCTTTTTTTCCTACTTCAAGGGATTTTCTGCAGATTGACACAATTATGACGGACTATTTAGTTGCCTGGAAGCTGGCAGAAAGCTTTCTGCTATTAACTTATCACCCTATCACTTCTGCAGGATCTTGAAAGGCCGTCTTGAAAGAAGTCCTTCTGAACTGGAAATCAGAAACATAAGGGTAGTGAAGCACTGGCATAGGTTGCCCAGAGAGGTGGTGGAGGTGCTCCACCCCTGCTGACACCCAAGGTCAGGCTGATGGGGCTCTGGGCACCTGTTGGAGCTCTGGGAATGGGACCAGATGGCCTTTAAGGATTTCTTCCAACTCAAACCATTCAACAATTGAACGCAGAGGTGTGACCTGAGATGCATCAGCAAGAAAAATGTTTGGTTTACTCACCAATGTTCCTTCCATTCGATGCACAAAAGATGCCCACAAAGCCATAACCGTGCAATGAACGTTTAGATACCATTAATTTCACTGCTCACACGTAAAGATACATCTAAAGAGAATCCCTCCAGAGCCACAGCAGAAATCTCATTAACACTCAGCTCAGGGAGGGTGAAAACCCCACCAGCTTTGTGCTTGGACCTGAGATGAAAGGCTCTGAATCCATAGCCACGCTGCCTCTTCCCACCCATGGCCAGAAAAGGATAGATGAAAGTGATTAGGATCTCTCAACAGTACACTGCCCTTGGGTACAGATGAAATCACTGTTCATCCTAATCAAAGAAATTAATACAATGTCAGCCTGCCATCGAGCCCTTCTTTCTAACAGAAGAGGAATTCTTTAGGGAGTTGTTCTGCAAGAGAATGCTTTTTGATAGGCAAGCTGATCTTCTCCATGCCTTTGGAAAAAGAGAGGCAGGCGTAACTCAAGGATAACGTCTCGCTGAAGGAAAAGTACAGAGAGTGCTCGTCCTTTCAAAACAAAGCACTCTAAGAAATTGTAGGGGGTTTGCTTCTATTTTAATGGCATGACAGCTGTGGAGAAGCGTGGAGTCCTTCATCAATAAAAGCTTCAGAGCAGAAAGAAAGAATACCTACAGTAGAGCTAGCAACTCATTAACAGAGAGCGCTCGTTTGCAGAATTGCAAGGCGTGGGGCTTCGGGCTCAGCCTCAGATGGGATGTCTGGGCTGCACCACATCTGCTTTGCCTTTCACACCCCCGGCACGAGGACACAGCACACACAGCAGCCAAGAGTCAGGAGTGGTGTGAAAAAGTAAGGAACATGTGGCTTCCTTTCCATCTGAATGTAACTGGTGTCTTTGCTTATTTAGCTTGTGCCTTTACTTGCTAACCTCAAAAGGCCTCTACATACCAGTGTGCTAGCACCGAGGTGAAGGCACTTAGCAGAATTTAACAGCTCTGCAGAAGCTGTTTTCCAAGTCCAGACCTCTCTGGGAATGTCATATTTGGCAGAGAGCTTGGGCTATTTTCACAGGGGTGCCTGTTTCAGCTGTTTCAATCAGCGTGGTCTTTCTGTTCACCACCATCTTCTGACAGCAGGGTACAAACAACCAGAAGCAGGAAAAGGACATCTCTCTGAATGCCTGACCACAAAAGTACTGTCTCACTTCAAGCCTCACAAAGTGGTAGCTCTCCAAGAAGCCTCTGGGGATCAGCAGAGGCTGAAGGAACTGGTTATGGTGACCTTATCAAGGACCTGTGAGAAGCATTTCCATTCCGATAAGAACACGAGACAAATTATCCTCTAAAGGAAAAAACAAATAAATAAGAAGCTCTGAGGGTTATGCTGACTGTACTGGAATTGCAGAGGCTGTTTTGTCTGTAATAACATCCTTTAAAAACATTTTTTTTAACTTGTAATTCCAAAGCAAATGCAGTTGCAGTTTTACTATCTGCAAAAATGAAGAGGTGTTGCCACTCAGGGCATCTCACTGGGAGCTCAACCACTTCAAAGCACTGGGCTCCTCCCAGTTAACAGTTGGTGGTAGGCCCCCAGTTGCAGTGCTCTGGATCTGGATGGATCTCTGCAACAGTTTGGCCCTTACAAACATAAGCTCCCAACACATTCAAAGGTAAATCAGTCATCCAAAATAAATGCCTGAAGTGGATGAAGTGAATACCATTCCATCCCCACCCACCAGACATCCCAAAGAAAAGACTAAAAGAAAAACACACCCCTGGTCTTTTATTAAGTTCTAAACATCCAAGATGCTGAGAGACCTGAGTATAGAAGGTGTTAAACGTAAATGAAGTAGTTTGTGCTCTCACAAGACGTGATCCTATCCACATACCACTCTGCTTACAGTGTCACAGAACAGTATGGAACGTGATCTAAGATATAACTGTTAATGTAGAGCATCAAAACTGACCAATCAAAGCTATATGGACTATAAAGATGAATTTTACAGTCATGCTACTATGGAAAACACCCTTTATCTGCTGCCCCATCCATCAGAAGACAGTCAGAGAGTACACGCTACATGGGATGTTGCTAAAACCTCTGCAAGGGACCACTGCAAGCAATATAAAGATCAAATATGCAGCAACAGAGAAATGAAGAGAGAGGTCTAAGGGATTTTTCCCAGTTCAAATCTTCGCAAAGAAGGTCTTCTGAAGTTCATGTGAAAAAAAAAATAATAATCTCAAGTGCAGCATTACATAAACTGTCTCTCCATGAGCTTCAATTGTGTTGGTTTTTCTTTTCATACTGCCTAAAGTTATATGGACTGAATCCTGCCATGGCCCACTGCAATAATGGTTGAATAAGTAGTAAACCTTTATTTACTCAGACAGGTGCATTAATTCTGATTTTCCACGTGGTTTCAAAGCAAAGCAGATTTTACACCATGAAGCCATAAATTCAGACAGCAATTTGCACAAATAACAACAACAACAACAAAACAAACTCATTTTCCAAGAATAACTAAGTGCTACCCTACGTAGTTTTAGGAATAGCAAAAAAAAAAACAAACCAAAATAATTAAAAAAAGGATTGTGAGATCTAAAAACAAAAGCAACACTGTTTGCAAGCAGAGCTGTTGATTCTACTCACCTTCCTTCAATTAGCCAGGTGCATTTTGTTTTGTATTTGTAGTTTCCAGGCCCATCCGTTACGTACCCTGAAGGTTCAATGAGTCTGTAAACAAAAAATAATGAACACAAGCCTTAGTCTTCAAAGTTACAACTTTCACAAAGGATATCCTGAATTTAGAAGATCTGTCGCTAGGTTTTCACCTTTTGAAGAGCCCTTAAAAACGATGCAATGTGAATCAATTGGGATTTTCCTGTTCAAGTCTACGTGCTTTCTGATGACTGTCCTTGGAGAATGAGTTCAGAGTGCTGGTTTTTCTACCAGAAAAGCCTAACACAGAGAGTGGAAAGAGTGACCAAAGACATGCAGAGGTTGCTTTCACATCCTCATCACTCGTACTGGAAATATAACAGCCAAACACACGTACAGTGGCACAAAATCAATCACAGAATCCTTAAGCTTGAAAAAGACCTTTCAGATTCCCAAGGCCAACCCCAGCACATCCCCACCATGACCACTAAACCATGACCCTCCGTGCCACATCTTCACTGCTCTTGGACTCCTGTAGTGAAGGTGACTCCATCACTCCTTGCACAGCCTGTGCCAGTGCCCAACTGCTATTTTGGAGAGGAAATGTTTCCTAATATCCAACCCGAGCCTTCCCTGAAGGTAGCAACACACAGGCTTTGGCTATGACTTATTTCCTCCATGACTTCAACATTTTCTTCAAAGATCACAGACGACTGAGAGGACAACCACAATATCTAAAAGGTAACAGAGGCATCCAGTTGGAGTTTGGGACAACAGATCCCTTCTATCACTTGGGTTCCCCGAAACCAGCCACTGAGATCCTTCATCTTTGGCCTCAGCACAGAGACCCATGGGTTGATGATAAAACCAAGAGCCACGCTGCCAGCTCAGAGAAATTAATTATCAATTCCAGATCAGTTTCACAAAACGCTCAAGTGAAGCAAAACCCATTTGAAAACAAATCCCCTGAGAAAGATGAAAGGAAACGGAAGCAGCACCTGAGGACATCCCACCAACATGCGTTGGCAGAGCATTGGCACTGGATTCCTGCCCAGGGAGGTTAGGCACCCCATCACCAGCACAAAGCCTCTTAGCAAAATCCATTTGTCCTACTTAGAACAGCTTCAGTCAGACAAAAACACTCTGAAAAATCAAATTTGAAAGAAAAATGAAGGAAGGAACCAATACTGTGAGATCCCAGAAATGGTAACTTGGAATCATTTGCTTGGTCTTTCTGGTGATCCATTAATGTTATCATCTAATATCTTGACCAAGTCAAAATGGTTGTTCAGCATCTTATCTGTTTTAGGCTTACGCAAGGTTCATTAGGTTAGATATTAGGAAGTTTTTCCACCCAGAGGGTGGTGAGGCACTGGAACAGGTTGCCCAAGGAGGCTCCATCCCTGGATGCCCCATCCCTGCAGGCATTCAAGGCCAGGCTGGATGTGGCTCTGGGCAGCCTGGTCTGCTGGTTGGTGACCTGCACACAGCAGGGGGTTGGAACTGGATGAGCATTGTGGTTCTTTTCAACCCAGGCCTTTCTATGATATTCGCACCACATTTTAAAGCTTCAGTTCTTTGAGAATTCAAGTTACCTATCTATTAGCAGGGAATTTGCAAAAACAGATGGAAGTTTCTAACTGTAGAAAACAGCATCAAGTCCTTTTGTAATACGTAATAACCGTGGAAGGGTAGGAATGAGACCACGTCAGTGCTGACAGCACTTTGCATGGAGCCAAGAGCAAACAGACGCTGGAAACCTGAGCAAGTCTTGCATGCTGAAAAACAACCTTATGCACCCTGCCAAGCTCTCAGAGAGCCTCTGCTCAGCAAACTCCTTCAACAACTTTCTCTGGCAACAATTATTAAATCATTCACCACTGAAATGCCATCGAGAGCAACGCTACAAGAAAACAGCTCTTAAATAACAGCCGTGTCTGATCCCAGAGAGTCTCAGCATCCATATAATTTACAATCATACAACGGCAAATCAAAAACGAACCATAGGATTTAGTTTAAAAAAAAAAGAAATAGATTAAAATAAAATAAGCAATTCTACTTCCTTGATACGCTGTTGAATACCTACCTGTAAGTTACTCAGATTCCTTGCTAAGCTTTAGAAGCTGCTGCCACTACAGATAACTAAAGGATATTAAATAATAATAATAATAAAATCAAAGTTCAAACCTCCAAAAGGAGAAAAAATAGGAGCAATGCTCTCAGTGCTGGGGTGGGTAGGACGCTGTACAAACACTGGAAGAGATATGCTCCAAGACAGATAGAAACAAAAACTAAGCAATACAAGCTGGAATTTTATCTTTATATTCAATAGAAGAAGCTGTATTAATCTCCAGCTCTAGTTAAAAAAGCAAACAAACTCAGTTCCCCTTCACATCACATGATGCTGCCATGCTCCGTACTTGTGAGCACTGATAACCAGGGCATGGCCCAGGTACTGGTTGGGTTTCCTATCTATCGATTTCCAGATACGGCTTGGAAAGAGAATGGATGAGTAATGGGGAGGAAAAGCACTCCAGGAGCAAAGCTGCTCAGTATGGGACATTTCCACGGTACTCGCAGGGTTATGCCCACAGGGCTGCCCTCAGGATGTACACCAAAAAAAGTCCTACACCCGTGCAACCTGTTGCCAACACCATCAGGGTCTGAGGTCTTTTACCCTACTATGTGCTACAGATGTGAAATCCTGAGAATATCATAGAATTGCTCCGGTTGGAAAAGACCTTAAAGATCATTAAGACCTAATCATACTACCCTAACTCTAGCCATAGGATCCTAAGGGATGGAAAAGATCTCTAAGACCCCAAGGTCAACCCCAACCCACCCCACCATGCCCACTGACCACATCCCTCAGTGCCACATCCCCACAGCTGATACTACAATTAGGACACATCAGTTTCCAATGCCTCCAGCATGGATTTGAGAAGCATCTTTTAGCTCCAAGGTTTTAGCTTGGAGAAGAGAAGGCTCTGGGGAGAGCTCATTGTGGCTTTCCACTACTTGAAGGGAGCTTATAAACAGCAGAGGTAATGGCTGTTTATGGGGGTGGATAGTACAGGGCAAGGGGAAATGGTTGTAAACTGAGACAGGAGAGGTTTAGGTTGGATATTAGGAGGAAGTTTTTCACTCAGAGGTGGTGAGGCATTGGAACAGGTTGCCCAAGGAGGCTGTGGATGCCCCATCCCTGCAGGCATTCAAGGCCAGGCTGGACGTGGCTCTGGGCAGCCTGGGCTGCTGGTTGGTGACCCTGCACATAGCAGGGGGTTGGAACCAGATGAGCATTGTACTCCTTTGCAACCCAGGCCATTCTATGATTCTATGATGTATTTTCCACCAGTGTCCTCATGTCCTCGAATTTATTATACATATTTATAATTTCATCACTCAAATGCAAACTGAACCGCATACAGTTTGGAGAGGCACCAACTCCCATTTTCCTTGGCTAATTGGACAGCCCATGATGGTACCCTCCACAAGCACTACCTGGCCTGAAGGTGCTGCACCTTATGAAAGAAAGCAGCAAAGTCCTTCAGGTGCTCTCTATGATGGGTGAGCACGGTGGAAAAACACACGCAGTGCAAAGATAACGCTTTTAGCAAAGCACAGATAGAGCACTGAACTCCTCCAGAGCGACGACTTTGACTTCAAAACCACCACCACCACAGTGGAAAAACTCCTGCATGTTTCTGGTTAAAAACCCAAGATTTTAAAATAGATATCAATGCTAACATGCATGCAGACACTACTGAAGGGCTGTTACCACTGCTAACGCTGCTCCTCACAGCTGATGTCGATTCCTCACTGATTTTCACCCAGGCTCTTAATAGTGTCAGCAATGCTGTGTGTATTTGTTAAATACAAATTACTGTACACTGACAAAGTCCCTGCAGAGCCATGAATTGCACAGTGAGGTGAAGACTCAAAGCTGTTTTCTAATTACTATCTAATAAATCTAAACAGCATCGAGGAGCTCGTAGCTTCAGAGTAAATCATTGTTTGAGGTTGTTAACAGAATCATAGAATGAAGCTGAAAGGGACCCATAAGGATCAATGAGTCCAACTCCTGGCTCCACACAATACCACCCAAATTCTGTATTCTTTCCAATACACTGCAACATTAAAGATCCACTACATGCTGGCAGTGAGGTGTTGAATATATTTAATTTTGCCTGAGATTCTCAGCAGATCTCATTGGTTTCCATTGCTTACAGTATGACAGAACTCCAGCATTCCCACCAGAGATTCCTTCTGCTAAAAACAGGAAAAACCCCCAAAACCAATTGCTCATGCTAATTTTGAAGTTGCTAAAACTAGAGGCTGATGCACACAGTGAGTTCTTCCTCGTCCCTCCCCTCTCTTCCCCAACAACACCACAATTAGAAGCCATTGTTTTGGGTTAATTTGAAGTTGCACCCAATAAAGAGAGGGCTGCTACAGCCTATTACAGAACAATGGCATTCTACCCTGAATTGATTAACAACTTAGCTTTGCTCGTTTTCTAAAAGAACACCAAGCAAACACAAAAACCACACACTGATATATCCTATGGTTTCCTACATGTCCCAGTGTATGGGCATGGAAAGCAACCAGCCACATGCAGGATGAATTGGTTTTAAACTGAAACAGGGGAGGTTTAGGTTGGATATTAGGAGGAGGTTTTTCACACAGAGGGTGGTGAAGCACTGGAACAGGTTGCCCAAGGAGGCTGTGGATGCCCCATCCCTGCAGGCATTCAAGGCCAGGCTGGATGTGGCTCTGGGCAGCCTGGTCTGCTGGTTGGTGACCCTGCACACAGCAAGGGGTTGGAACTGGATGAGCATTGTGGTCCTTTTCAACACAGGCCATTCTATGAGTCTATGAAATAAAGAGAGAAACAACATCCATGCATGTATTTCATGAATTTCTAACACCTTAGATCCCCAAACCATACGTACAGCTCAAACGAAATCATTCTTCCACACCAGGTCTCGCACAGACGGCATCACTGCCAAATCAAGTCTGATAAGGATTTAACCTATTTGGTACGCAACCAAAGAGCACAAACAACTCTGTGTTTT